TTCGAGATCAATTCGGGTGGAACGATCTGGAAAGGTCTCGGGTCAGCTCTCAAAAGTAAAGAGTCAAAATTATTGTACAATACCGGTCCCTATACTGAGCAATCAACTGGCGCCGCGACGCATCAGATGGATCCATGACAGGAAGTGTCAGTCATATTGAAGAAACATCTGATATCCGAGCAAAGTCATCCATGACTCGGGGTTATCGAGCGACAAATATGGATCATGGAGGGAACCGGCCACACACTCGGGAAATATCTGAGAGGGATCCGGGTCAGGACATTTCAAATGGTGGGGCAGAGGGCGTACAAATCCCCTGTACTCGCGCAGGGTTCTCAGTGAGAGACCGTTGATGATTGCGTTAAAATCGGACATTGACAAAAAATGTTGATGTTGAATGCAACGTCAACCGACTTGATTTTATGGCAATTATTTGAAATTCTTATCTATGCGAAGGTTATCGACGTACCCCTACGCGTCACCGCATAACCTGTGTCCACACGTGAGCCCTGGACATCAATTCCCGATCAAGTTCCGGTGCCTCCGATTAGCGCCCGGCTCGATCATGATCTTGCGTCTCTCTCGCAGTAGGACTCAGTAGGAGTGGTGAAAATGGGACTCGCTAAAGATCAGCACGTGCTTGTATGATGCCAGTAGGAGTGGATTTGAGTCCACTCCTACTCATTTTGTCACTTCTCACCCCTGTAAGGTTCTGGTCTCCTCGTGGCAGGTACAGTGGGAGGCTCGAAATCCAGCTGTGGGTCCTCGCATCTCAAGTCTCACTTCCATGATCCACCTACCTGCTCTGCCGATGCCATCGAGTCTCGCACTGCAATCCCCTACCAGCCTCGTCTTGTGCTCTATCGCGGCAAGGTACTTGAGGTTCGACAATGCCCCGATGATCCGCCTATACCGCAGATCATTTCATAATCTCTCCATCTCCATTCGTTTCCCGGGGCATGCGTCTGCCGACTTGGACTCGGATCCCACTTCCCAAGCTGCAGCCGCACAATTCAAATTGAGGCTCTACAAGCTCGGGCCCGTCTCGGGTCAACTGGTTCCAATGTAAACCTCAATCGCTGCTTGACTGATCCGACTGAAATCGCGACCGATGAGCTGCCCACTTTTAAAATGTACCCGGCTGCCGTTTCGAGGGTAACAGACTTGCTCTGCTCTTCCCTGGCGAGATGTCCTCCAATACGATGGACCCAACGTATGGCGCAATGCTCATCGGTGGTGAGTGTGGACTTGCGACGACCTTGCGTGCTGCATGGCTAACGTGGACTCGGTCGATCCAGTCTTGTTTGCCATCTTGTGAGCTGGCTGCTGCGTCAGTGAATGGGCCTTGCTCACTTCGAGGTCCCAAGCTTCCAAGGCGTGCTTACCGTCCAGACGTATATCTACTATGAAAGCTTCCCGGAGGATGGTATCGGACTGAAGACTTTGGTCGGTGGAGTGTGGTGAGTGCCCTCGATACATTAGCTCCACATCTGAGCTACATGTCCATCTCCAGGCTCCTAGACGTCACCCACCTGGTGCTCATATCCCAATCCTGCTACCACTATCTGGTCGCTAGCTGGGGTGACAACGCGGCCTTGCTCGTCTCGACCCAGGTCCTGGACCTGCATCTGGTCTTTGTCGGGCTCGCATGTGCGGTCTGCCAGGGGTTCTTCTTGTCCCGCATCTGGACGTTCAGCAACAAGAACTGGGCACTCGTCGCCGTCCTCGGTGCGGCGTGCCTCGCGACCTTCGCTCTCGAAGCGGCCATGTCGGCGCAAATCAGCCGCATCCCGAGCGTCACGGCGTTCTCGAACTACTCGGGTGAGGTCTTGGCTGTATTCGGGCTTGCCGCTGCGGTCGATGTGGCGATTGCGAGCATCTTGGTGTGGTATCTGCGAGTCCAGGGCAGAGATAGCAACTTCGTCAGGACGAACTTTGTCCTTGCGCGAGTCGTGCAATACACCGTCGCTACTGGATTGGCTACCAGGTTTGCTACAAGCCAGTGATGCCAGCGGTGCTCAGACTGAATATTTACAGCTTGCTTGCGGTCGCGTGTTTCGCGGTGGTAAGTCGCATTACCTGAGCCATCCGGAAAGCGTTGACGATCAGAATCCAGTATGTCACGACATCGCATACGTTCATCTTCATCGCACGTCCTCTTCCTCGCCTCATGTGATCCCATCGCATCTTATCTTATCAGACAGGCCATGCACTTCTCGATGGGTCGAATGTACACTAATGCACTGCTCGCAACGTATGGCGCTTCGATATCGCATCAGCATATGCTTATCCTTTCTACAGTCTCAACTCCCGGCGCAATCTACGCAAAGCGCTCAGCGATGATCCAGCCACGGGATTAGGCACAGGGCCGGGACCCTGTTCTTTCATCGCCGGTTTTCAGAATGTGAGCGATATCAACCACATGGTTATTCAGTCCACTGCGACTGACAGCTTCGTTAGTCATCTTCCTCTTCCTCTGATCAGGCTTCGCCGTCGATGCAAACTCGCTCATCGTTCCTCGGAACGGGATCTGAGAAGTGATTTTAGTCTAATGATTATACCATCTCGTGTGGGGATCCCTTTCGTTGGTATATGATTTACAAACGTAAATTCATAAGGCTTCGTCGGCGGCTGTGGACCCCAATCCAAATGTTGATTTGATGATAGTGCACCACATGCATTACAGCGGATACGAGCAATTCATAATTTAGGAAAGGCTGAGAACAACACGACCGTGTACTAAGCAATACAATAAAGTCTAAAAGTCCGGGAAAGAAACCCATGCCAACTAACCACTACCCGTGTCATATTATTTTAGAGGTTGCCTACTGCTTCAGTCTAGGGTTCGACCTTCTATTACCCAGCTTCTCTTTTTTCTCCGCCGGGCGCAGGATCTGGGCAGAAGAAAAGTCGGCTCAGATGTGGACAAAAACCCGACCGAAGGATATCAATGCCTACCTGGAACGTGCACAGAAGCGACTCGTCCACGCTGATCATCGCACCCGCGTTATCGAATTCGCCTCCATAATTCGGAGCGGAGAATATGGTCACCAAGTGCTGATTCGCGAAGAACTCGAATCCGTCTTCAACCACCTGGGGCACAGCTTCAACATCGAGCACTGAGGGGCGCATGTTGCGTGATACGCACCTGGTGTCCGCGGACGATCAAGTCCATGTTGTGTTTTTTCAGGAACTGGAGAACGACGTCGGCACCAAACGTGAACGAGATCCCGCGGTCGTTTTCGCCCCATCCACGAAGATCCGGTTCGGGATCCGACCAGAGCAAATCCGTAACAATACCTGAGGCACGGCCGTCAGCAGTGAAACAGAGCCGAGGAGCTCAGGATGATTTCTGTATTTACATACCACTGTCAGGAACATCCGTTGGCCGCAAAACCCGCTTGATCTGGTCCAAAGACAGTAGATCCGGACTGAGTCCTCCGTGCATCGCAAAAATCTTGTCGTCCACAATAGCAGCGATCGGAAGACAGTTGAATGTGTCGATGAACGAACGCCAAATTTTGACGTTGTACCTCCTTTTGCCTGAGAATTATATGCATATTAATTGGCACTTGGACCTGTGAATAAAATACAGAAACGCGACGTACACTCGTCGTAAAAACCGTAGATCCGATTGATCGATGCGGTTTCATGGTTCCCGCGCAGGAGAAAGAAGTTTTCTGGGTACTTGATCTTGTATGCGAACAGCAAGCATATCGTCTCGATCGACTGTTTGCCTCGATCCACGTAGTCGCCGAGGAAGAGGTAGTTCGCGTCAGGAGGGAACCCGCCGTACTCGAACAACCGCAGGAGGTCGAAGTATTGCCCGTGTGTGTCACCTGTTTGCAGGGGATCGTGTCAGTGAAATCAAGTCAAGATCGGTGGGTTCCGGCGGTTTGGCTTGGCGGGACGCACCGCATAATTTGATCGGAGCCTCGAGCTCGAGCAGCATCGGCTGCTCCATGAAGATTTCCCGAGCCCGTTTGCAGAGGTATTGGATTTCCTTCTCTGTCAGGTTGACCATTCTTCCCGGCCGGTGGTTCCGGACTATAAAATGATACAAAAGTACAATGAATATTGGTTGTATGTAGGCTAAAGGCAGAGCAGCGAGGCGAGTTGTCCCGGAGGCATCTCACAGTTGCAGCAGCAGCAGCATCATCATCACGGGCCGCAGACTCTCGCCGCACAAATTCAATTTTGAACATCCAAGCACCTTCAACGAGACGGTCGATGATCGAATCGACCATGGAATCCAGGTCGACTTTGGCCGTGTTTCGTTTGAGAAGATTGGCCATCTGACTTCATGCATCAGAGTCAATCACGTAGGCAGCCGTCTTGGACTTACAGCGGGTGCAAGAGTTGGACGGGCTACTCGGGATATGGGGAGGAAGAGAAAGAGGAAGAAATCACTCCATGTGCTCGCTTATCAGGCGCATTTGAATGTGACTCATTTCAATCAACTTGTAACGTGACCTACCACATAGCGATCTCAATTCAATCTCCACGGGAAGTACGAGGGAAGAAGAGTAACAAAACGAACAGGAAGAAAAGGCGAGAAGACCATGGCCGAAATCACAACTTGGCCCTGAAAGTGTGTGTTCCCGTCAGGGTTCCCTTCAAACTATCCACTTCTTCGGCTGTGCCCAGCAGCCTCTCGTCGCCCAAGACAAGTTCGTGGACCCCGTCGACCACCAGCCGCCAGAACTCGTCCATCAACCCGATCTCACCGCCATTTGGAACCGTTCCCGCGTCCCAGTTTAGCCAGATACCGAATCTTCCCAGGAAAGTGCGTGTGGAGAGCAAGACACCGCCCGTCCCCCGCCTCGATCCACCGACCAGATCCAGCAATTCAATCGCCGGATACCGTTCAGTGCGGAACAGCGCGTCGACCGATCCTTGCTGCGAGAGCCCCATCAGGGCGAGTGAAGGCGCGCCGGCCCCCGTCGCTGGGGATGCAGGTGGGGGAGGAGCTTTCGATCCCTGCGCGATCGCATCGTCGAACCGAGCCCAGCCCTTGGCACGTTCGGCCCGCATTTCGGATGTAGCAAGGGCCCGACCTGGAAGCAGAGGGCTTCTGACATATGCACCCACTTGCCGATGTGCTTCTTTAGCGCGGTGCCAGAACAAACACATTGGGTCAGAATGCAGGAAGCCCGGAAGACACACGCTCAGATACTCAAGTGCTAAGCCCAAGCGCGGTTGCTGACAAGGCGGGAGGATGTGTTCCAGGTTGACAACAGAGTAGAGCAGCATCGGCAACTCCTTCGGCGCGCATTGTCGGTATTCCGGATGAGCGGCCATGAGTCGAAGCCAGGCAATGTTGCACAGCGCAAAGAAGGCGTTCCCGATGGACACCCCGTGAGCCTTGCATGCTGCACGGATGGCGATCGTCTGCTCGCGGCTGAATTTAGCCTGCAACTGTCGAGTCTGCGTCCGTTGCGCGGGTTTCGGTGGCGTCTTTGCCTGCGGCGCCCGAGGGAAAACGTGGCCTCCCTAGCGAGAAATTCAGCTGCAGTGTAGCAACAGCTGGATAGCTCGTACCACATATCGTCTCTGCACATTGTCATGATCAACTCTCAGCGCATGGCGACGGAGTCTTGAAGCCTTTGATACAGACAGCAGAGTCTCTGTCGAGGGCATGATTGCTTCCTTCGGTGCCACATGACCCCATCGATCAATCCACTCCCGACGTAAGAGACTCTCCAGTTCAGCATCGGTCTGCACGGCCAGCAGCTCAAACATGTCGTTGATGAGCTGAAACACAGGGATCGCACCGCCTATCATGTGGTGCGAGCTGAGGAAGAGGTGATACTCAAAGAGCTCCCCTCTGCCGACGGACTGACGCGTGATATCCAGTCTGGACAAACGCGACAAGGACAAAAGTCTGGGCCCATTGAGGCAGTCGTCCATGAGCTCATGCCCTAGCTTTTTATCGTGGAGAAATATCGTTTGGGACGCTTGTTCGATCGCAGTGACGTGCGTTGGCGGAGGCATATACCTGTGAGTGATTCAGGGGACATATGCGGTACGAACTTGCATGCTCACACGAAGTGGGCATCGTCATAGTTTCCACGAGGCATTTCCACTGAGCAGGCGAGAAGCGAGTGCCGTTGACGCATGATAGCCCAGACGATCGAGAGGCGCACGGGCGACATCAATGTGGATGGTGCACGGAAAGCGATGCTAGCTACGCGAGTCTGTGGTCATCTCCCTGCAAGCAGATGAGGCATGCATCAACCCACTGAAGACATCGTTGAGTCCAGTGGCTCGACTCTGCAGGAAGTAGGACCTGGAACCAGTTAGGGGACGCGTCCGAGGTGCTAGCTTGGGCTGACAGTTCATTAGGACTCAGCTCCCTCCGGTATACAAGCTGCGTTCTATCCATGAGGCGGGATCTAGAGGCGAGTTCTCGGCCGTCGGGGTGAGATGCAGTAGACATGAACGCGGAGAGAGGAGTGCAATATCTGAAGCCAGCAGCATAGACGGAAGCTTTTATTCGCCGCTAGCTCCTATCCATACCCCTCTCTTTATTCGAGCGTTGGCTGGGACAAACATCCCCCCTTCTGAAAGCTGCGCATAAGATAAGATTGCGAAAGATTGCGAACTGTGGTCTCTGGTAAGGTCTCATGTTGCACGTGCCGGATCGCGTACAAAAAGTGCTCAAAGCCCGCTGATAGCCGAGCAATCGTCTCGATTCGCTTGTCAAATTTTTATCGATCCTTCGTTTATTGCACCTCAACCTCGCCATGAGCGTCCGTCTTCCCCCGATTCCTTCTGGAAACCACTCCGACTCTGGTTCTTGCTCATCATCGTCCTCCTCTGACGGCGAGGAAGAGACATGGGACGACTGGGTCTCCGAGTCGGGTGCGGGCCCTTGCAAATCCCTTTTCGACGAGACGGTGCTGGAGAGTGCCAAATCTGCTGGAGAGCACGATAAGGTCACACACGGTGTAGACCTCGACGCGCTATGCGCGCGTTTCAGTACGTCCTGTCTTGGAGCTGAGCGCAAGGGATGATGATACCGTGCAGAGCTGGATACTTACCAACGAATTCGTTTCATCAACTACATGAGGAAAACGGTGCGTCTCGCTTGCACCTTTATTCTCTCGTGAAGCTCATCTAGGGTGTATTCATAGAAGCCCAGCCCTGCCGATGTCCTGGCTTTGACCGGATCGGAAGCCTTGTTTACCTCGGACGAGTATCTCCAGCCTGTCATCGAAGATGACCCTCTTCTGCGTGCGTTGCGACTCGTCCACTCAGTCACCTCGCTCAATGAGGCGTAGAAATCGAACCCGAAGACTGGTCTGACTCGGATGCCGAGTCGTCCACAGATCCCGTCAAGCGCATTCGAGCGCTCGAACGGAAGCTGGCCGCCGCACAGCAAGATCTCATCGACTATCGCCAGCTCGTCAGCAAGCAGCTCGATGTGCCAGCCTTGATCGCCGCTGTAAATGAACCTACTGCTGCTGGAAAGGCACCGACGCGGGATGACGATTCGCATTACTTCCAGAGCTATGCCGAGAACGGTATGTATATGTCCATCCTCCTCACCTTTCCGTTCCTCACTTGCCCCAGACATCCACCTCACAATGCTGACTGATCACATACGGACCTCGTCCTATGCCGCCTTCATCCTCACCAACCCTCACTTTTCCACAACGCCACGGTCCTCGACGTGGGCTGTGGGACCGGCATCCTCTCGCTTTTCGCAGCCCGTGCAGGGGCCAAACGTGTCTTTGCCGTGGATGCCAGCGACGTCGCTGAAAAGGCCGACCGCATCGTTCACGAGAATGGCATGGAGCATATCATCAAGGTGGTGCGCGGAAAGATCGAGGATGTCGTCCTCCCTTTCGATGATGGCGAGGAGCAGAAGGTGGATATCATCGTGTCGGAATGGATGGGTTACGCGCTGCTGTATGAGAGCATGCTCGATTCGGTTTTGGTCGCCAGAGATCGGTTCCTGAAGCCCGGTGGTGTGCTGGCTCCAAGCCAGATGCGGATGATGTTTGCGTTATGTGATGGCAGTGATATAGTTAAGGAGCGGATCAAGTATTGGGACGATGTTTATGGTATGCCTCCATCGGCTGTGCCTTGTCGATACTGACCGTTCTCGCACCTACCCACCACAGGCTTTGATTTGTCCCCGATGGCAGAGCATGTTGCGGATGAGGCCATCGTCGATGTTGTTGGTCCCGAAACCACGTTGAGCGTCCCGTATTGCGTCAAGGCCAGTTCTGCACTCAAAATCTGTCGTATTGCGATGCTCACACCGCATGAAATAGGACCTCTACCTACAAAACATCACACCGCGAAATCTGTCCTTTGTCTCCCCATTCACTCTCACCTGCACCTCCATCCGGCGCACGAAAATCACGTCGTTCATCCTCTACTTCGACACGTTCTTCGCGCCAGACGGTCAGCCCATTTCCGAGAACGAGGAAGTCCGGGTCGTCAAGACCGGTGAGGCCATGGTGACGGACGTGTGGCCTGTTGGCGGTCGCCCTGCTCCAATGCGCCGGGCAAGCTCGCAATTCAGCCCTGATGGTGAACCCAAGCCGCTCAAAATAACAAGTTTCAGCACCGGGCCACAGAGTGTACCGACGCACTGGAAGCAAACGCTCTTCTTGCTGCGTGATCCCATTGTTGCAGAGGAGGGTACGTCAACTTCCCTTGCTTGTGCCTCATTGATAATAATCTAATCTAATCTCTACAGGATCTGTGGTTACCGGCCATTTCCACTGCAAGAAAAGCGACGCAAACTCCCGCGAGCTGGATGTTGAAATCCATTACGCTGTTCGTTCTCCGGATGCCGAACAGCCAGGAGATACAGTCGTCCAGATGTACAAAGTCCGGTAATTTGGCACCAGAGGTATCTGTCACATATGTATCTATGGACCCGATGGTGTCGATTTTCGATCTACTTGGAACTCTGCCCCTGCACCATGATCTATAATGGCCTATTCTCCGCATCTCTCCATCTCATTGATTCGGCTACATGCCGGCTCTATGCATGTCAGAGGCGACATGTGTGATGTACATGACAAAACCAACGTATTCCTCCGGTGCAACATCTAGAACTCGCAGGAACGGTTCTACGAGAACAAAAAAATGCATAATAATTACAATTGCGATGCCAATGCTCGGATTATATAACATATCGATAACCATAACTCCCGCCCTCGACGTCTACTCCCCTCGACTCGATTGCCCGACCTTGCCATCTGCACTAGCTTCAGGTGGGACATCCTCCGATACCGCCATGATCCCCGGCCGTCCAACGCTCAGTGCCAAAGACCACATCAGGATCTCCCACGTATTTTCGATGACTTCCCAGAGCGGGTCGTCATCGATCCCGAGTACAGTCGCATTGCTCCACAGCCCGTGGACATCCATGGCATGCTTTAGCAGTGCCTGCGACGTATACGTCTGTGCGAGCAGCGTAGCCTGCGCCCGAGTGCTGCTTGCCGCATTGACAGTGGCGGACATCGGTCCAGGCGGCAGGAGAGCTTTGGACAGGTTGTCGGCGCGTTTGGTGTAGAGGAATGATAGCAATTGGGGAAAAGTCGACGGCGATGGTAGGCGGAGGGGCTGGACGGGCACCCGCACCCGCGATGGATCTAGTGTTCCGCTCTCAGAGTCGACGACGTGCGCCGGGACAGGCGGCGTCGGTGGTAGTGTGGGGATCCGCGAGCAGTACAGTGCAAGAACGTTGGTATGTGCGGGAAGTAAAACGACTTGCGTCGCCGTCGTCGATGGTGATGTGGATGGCGTCCGATAGACAGCCAACAGCACCGTTGGTGGCGGGTAGTCTGAGCCCTGATCGTTAAGACGTAGGACCATGTCCGGCACTAGGGTCGTTTTGGACATATCTTCAACACTTGCACTAGCAACTGTCCGGAGAAGCCTGCGATAGGGTTCAGCCTCTTGCCTACTTCGCCAAGGAGAGAAACACGAACCCCGGTCCAAGTTCCTTCATCACATCTCGAATATATGCCAACTGCCCTGGCTCAAGAGTCGTGCCTTCCGTTCCCTCACTGGCGAACTCGGGTGCAACGCTGAGCAGCAGTTCCGCATTCACGCCCAGTTCATCTTCCGCTATGTCACGCCGGGCCAAGAATCGTGGCAGATGGAACGACCGTATTTTACTACTGGAGGCGGCCGTGTCCTCAGCGTCGACGTCAGCAGGCCCTGGAGGTAAGTCGAACTCCAACACAGCTGGCTTCGTTCTGTTCTTCTTCTTCCCCTTTCCGTCTTTGCCCGCCGCATCCTTTGCTGCCTTCCGTGTCGCCTTCCTCTCCCTCGCCGCCTTGACCCGCTTCGCTCTTTCCGGATCCCGATCCCGGAGACCCGCCCGCAGTCGGTCGTGGAATGACGAGGAGGAGTACTGATGAGATTTGGTGAAGGTGGTCGATGGTTTCTGTGCGGAGGATGACGCAGGGAACGGGGCAGCATTCTCGCGCGCGTGCCGCGTTTGTCTCGGTTGCAATGCGGGAGGCATCTTGTGCGTCGGTGGGGAGAGTTTAGATGTGGTGAGTGGGGGGAAAGAACAGAGGAAGTTGTTGGACAAGCGTTCGCCAACGCAAGCACATAATAAGGATCGTGACCGGAACGGGGGCTGCTCAAAAGTGCGCGCAGGGAACCAATCCTCCCGCCAGAGCCAATCCAAAAGTTGCCATTTTGGAAAAGTTGCTACATTTGGACATGCCTTTGTGTGGTGTTGCTATGATGGTTGATCGGAGTTCTCCGATGTGCGAAGGATTGAAGTTCGGGAGGAAGGGCAAGGGTCGCAATTCTTGAAAGGTGTCCGTAACCGACGGGATTAAATCTAAATGGGAGATCAACGCTGATCTTATTTCATGACACCGTCTTGACTGAGGGAATAGTCGGTCTCTCAAATTTCATGATAAACTAATCCAGTGCCTATCTTCCTCGAAATGTTGCCAGAATCGTGTGACCAATGAGAAGCCAGAACAGAAAGATCTCCTTGGAGACTCTTGAATGAGGTCGAATGACTGGTCTCTGAATTGCTGTCTCAATAATGAAAATTCCTCTAAATACTAATGGAATGGATCGTGTATGGAAGCGTAGGAGACGCAGCGACATGGCTGCAATTACTTGAGAGAGCGTATCCTATCAAAGACAGCGGACGAAACATTTTGCACGGTGCAAGAGAAGAAAGCTATTCCATCAAGATCAGTCATACCATCGAAGGAATCTGACAGACCAAGTTAAACACACCGTTGATTCACTCCACATCGTCGTGACTACTATGGCTTTCTTCTCTCAACCGACCCATCCTCTCCCCATCAGTGCGCTCCTTGACCTCGATCGCGTAGGCGTTTACGCAAGATTTGCACATCCCGCCTCCGGTAGGAGCACCCATGCACCAATCACTCCGCACGGCGTAGTGCGCAAACTGCTCGTGCAAGGACAGCCGAGTCGAGAGCATATACTTCACAGAATCGCTCGCCTCATCTCCACTGCAGATCCCTTCGATGATGAGACAGATCTCGCACTGCACCATTCGCAGAGCCTGCAGTCGAAGAGGGGCACATATTTCCATATCTCCGGCGATGCAACTTCCCTCGGGCTCCACCGTCAGATACTGGGCGCGTGTGACACCTGAGCTCACAGGAAGCGATTCAGATGCATTGGTCATCAGCAACGCGGCAGGCACCGCCGGTCTGGTCTTGGGAATCTGATTCCCATTCTCGAGTCTCACAGCTGACGCCTCGACGACCTTTCCCTCTGCAAGCAATCGGGCTCGCTTGTCCACAGCGCCGTCATAGTCGCTCGCACGAGCCTCGTAAGCGACACGGATACGACAATGACGTGCTGCCAAGTACTCTTCGAACGCACTAGGCGATCCGCCGTGTCTCTTCAGAGCGCTGTCTATCTGTTAAAAGAGCTGAGAGATTACAGATGTGGGGAAGGCGCACCATCGTTGCACACTCATTCGCGATACAAAGGTCGTCTGCCCTCGAATACTGCCCAATATACGTCAGACTGGGTATACATAGGATGCGAGGTAAGGGTCGCACACAAGTGGAAGCATACCAGCTTCGCGAGACTTCAGATCATGATAAGCGAGTGCATGCGAGAGAGGAACGAGCGAATGCATTTCCGGGATGAGGCAAGCTTGGCAAATACGCTAGCAGCAGATTGAGAATGGAAGCATGGAGTAACCCAACTCAATGCCGTGGCGTACCTGAAGTAGAGGTATATGGATGTTAGGAGTCGGTGCAGAGCAGAGAGAGCATCTATAGTCAAAGCACACGGTCACGATGTCGCTGCAGTGAGAGAAGGCAACGCGAAACATTAGCGTCAGCCGAAACCCTGGCGGAAGCAGCACGGACCGTTTGGAGATTGTATCATTTACGAATGATCGCAGATCCTTCCCAGTTCCCAGCCACTCGTCATGATCTTGGAGCAGCTTCAGAGGAAGACAGGCGTCAAAACCGGACTGCAGCAGGGAATCCATGATCACTCACCTCAAACCACCGCTCCCATCGCGAATCCTCCAACACCATCACGCGCCATGATTTCGAAACGTGACTCAAGATAAGAAGGTCAGACTTGGGAAGGTGATGATCTGTGCGTTATTCCATAGATGACAGAGTATGGTGGGCCGTGTGAGCGAGAGGGAATACAAGTGAAGACCGAACGTACATATGATGAGCTTGAGCTCTACGGGAAGAGCCTCGAGCCTCGAATGGCTCAGTGCTTCGCTGGGGTGGTTCTGTCGAAAGCGTCTGGTGCGGACGGGCATTGTCGAAAAGGAGATGCAGTCGGAGATGAGCGGTGAGTGACGTGACACGTCGCGACCTCATCAGACCACGCGCATGACTCTGGTCGACGCGGTCAGGTGACCCTCTGAGATATGGGCCTCCTCCACTTTCAAGCGAAATTCAACATTTCCAGTGATATCCTTGAGTGTCCTGATTTTCTAACACATGAGATCTCATTCAAAACGAAAAGTGGTTCATTTGGAGAATTGTGTCCGAATCCAAATCACTCAGTTTTCTGCCAACTTCCTAGCAGACAGTACAGGTTAGAGAAGGCCAAAACTCAGCGCTGAGATGAACTGATATTGATCAATATCGAACACGACATTATCGTTAGAATCGCAAAACTGTCTTCAAAACGCAGTCAAAAGGCACAGCACTGACGAACACTACGGACTCTCGAGCGGGGAGTCGAACCCCGGTCGCCTGCGCCAACGAGGGCAATTCCCTGACAGGCAGGAATCTTCACCGTTGGGCCACCCGAGAGCGAGGAACATGTGGGGGATTAAAGTTGCTTCACCGCAAATAATGCATGCGCTCATCTGTAATCGTTGCTTGCCTCAATCGAATCGTCATTGTCAATTGATGGGATTTCTCCGTGGAGAGGGCACGCACCGGCTGTTCCTTGATAACAACCCACACACAGGCGTCTCCAGAACTAATACGAGACCAGCGCGGGGTTCCGGCGGCCCTTTGCCTGAGACATCAATGGTTGACAAAGGCATGACTGCCATATTAAGGCCGACGCCGCGAGCTTCCATGTCAGATATACTATATAATGGCTGTCCAACGAGGGACAGAGAAACAGGATCCAGCATGTCCAACAAGCCTTCTGTGTTGATCGTCGGCGCAAGTGGTGCCCTCGGGCAACCCTTGACACAGGAGTTCATCAAACAACGGGATCGGATCGGTCGTCTTGCGATTCTGTCTGGCCCGGCGAAAGCGCATAGAGTGGAGGCCGCTCGAGCTGCAGGCGTCGAGATCGTCCTCGGGTCGCTGATCGATCCTAAATGCTATCAAGGCAGGTGTTCATCGGCCGGATCGCCCAGTGTTGCTCATGGGGCCACGCAGGAATTGACATCGTCTTCTCCCTGGTGGGGGATGCCACCATGCGCTTGCAGCCTGCGATCATCGAGGCTGCTGTCGAGGGCGGCGTGCGCCATTTCTATCCCTCCGAGTTCGGCACGGACATCGACCAAGACCACGTCTGGCCCTTCCGTTACTTCCGGGATAAGCTCGTCACCCGAGATCATCTTCGCGCGACAGCGAAAAAGGTCCCCGGGTTCCAATATACTCTGATGCTCGTGGGCGCTTTCACCGAGTGGTCGTGCTCCTCGTTCAGCGGCTTCGATTTGGAGAAACACACTGTGGAGGCATATGGGTACCCGGAGGCACAAGTTTCGGTCACAGCTCTGAAGGAGTGAGTGCCGTGTATGCAGCCCCCAAGAAGCCACTCACAGCCTACTCTGCAGCATCGTGAGGTATGCCGTGGACTCGATCTTCCTCCCGTTTCCCAAGGATCACGCCATGCGTGAGATCCGCGTCCGGGGCGACCATGTCACGTTCGCCGAACTCATCAAGACCCTCGAAGAGGTCCAGGGCGTCTCATACACCGTTTCGTACATCGACCCAAGCGAGGCTGCAGCCAAGCAAGAAGCAGCGCGCAAGCGAGGAGAGGAATCGGAAGAAGTGAAGTGGGCTGGGAAAACGATCTGCCCAACAGGAAGAGTCACCGTTCCGTTTCCGATTGATAACGACAAGTTCGATTTCAGACCGGAGAGTCTAAAGGAGACGTTGGCGCGGTTGTTTGCGACGAAATAGCAGTTTCTGTAAATCTTGTGAAGTTACGACTGTCCATTGCTACCAAGACTCGTAGATCGACTCTCACTCCACTCAATACAGCAGGCGAAGTAGCTTGATCCTTCGGTCGTAGTGACAGTACTTGGTGAGAGTCAGCATGAGTAGTCACGGTCGCACTGCCTCGGATATCGATTGTCTGATCCGAACTCAGACTGGCACATCGCAGTGTAGAAACATTGCTTTCGGGACCCAAGGCTCATGAACCGTCGACGACAGCCTCTGTCCCCCACAATCGTAGTCCAGACATTCAGGAGGTCAGTTACTGTACGGGGAGTAATCAGAAAGTCGCACTGTTCTCGCATAGTGTCGGCCAGGGCATCAGTGAGTAGAGCTGAAGGACGGTCTGGGACATGGACATGCTGCACGCTCGACTGAGACAAGCATCCATCCTATCCGGTCCATGAAAATGTCACCTAGTACCGAGAAGTGCTACTAGTAAAATAATATCTCTGGAGGCATTTCATTCGTCTGTAAGCACGTTTGAATACAGCATCATATTGAGGAACAATAGACGTCAAAGTTCACGAAGGACGAGCTTCAACCTGACGAGGGCCCGCCACCCTCGTTCCTGTATGGGTTCCATTTCTGTTCGCTTGCGCAGTCGCCTGTGCTGAAGCCAATTGCAGTCTATAACACCTGCAGACCAAGCTGCGCTCGGTTTGACTCCGTGCGTTCTCACTAGCAGCTAACCACCAAGATTCCCCCACCCCTGGTACTGCTGCTGCTGATGGACCGGTATCTGACCCTGGAAGCCGAGGGTCGACGTCGACGGTAGTCGCGTGTGAGCCAACCCCGGATTCGCACTCATCGCAAATGCAGCACCAGGGCCCGTCGCATACAATGTCTGACCAGCAACGCCCACGCCACTACCTGAGCCCAAGGTACCATACATCGCATGATTCCCGGAGACAGTCCTCTGATGAGCCAGGGGAGGCTCCGCCCAGATTGTGCCCTGCGAGCCGAATCTTTGGTGCTGCAGCTGCTGCTGGGGATAGGCGCTGGCTGCGCTGGGATACCGCGGCGATCCGTACGGCATCGGACTGCCCAGCGACAGGGACACTTGCTCGGCCCTCGAAGCCGCCCAGATCGATGCTGGCGCTGGTGACGCGCTCGATCCGAGCCCAATGCCGCTGGCTGCCGAAGCTCTGACAGACCCGGCCCCAGAGCCCCTGGCAAGAAACCCTTGAGCAGGTCTTCGGCAGTCGTCGGGTTCACAATTTTGTCCTGAGGGGGCGCAATCGGGCTGGGCATTGGAAGAGCGGGGCCGGGAACAGAAACAGGCGCTTGCGCTGGGATACGGTATGGGGAGAGCGTGTGGTTTTGTGTTTGTGCCGCAGGAAGTACTCTCGGTGGAGGGTCCGCACTTGGCAACTGAACCCCGGTTCTCGCAGGTGTTCCAATGGGCGCCATCGGCTTTGCAGCGACGGGAACGTCCTTGGTGCGGATGTCCCAGACGATCTCGTCCTCCTCATCCTCGTCCTGCGGTTCCGCTTGCAAGAAAGAAAATGCCTCATCCAAAAGGGCAGTGCTGGTGTCGTCCGTGGTTTCAGAAGCGAGGTCTTCCTCGTGCGCGGTTGCCGACGTAGGGCCGTCTAAACCCACGACAACCTGTCGACCATACACTGCGAGGGGCGAGTTCTGTACCTTGTGTCAGCAGGAGAATCGATGTAAACGACAGACACACACCTCCATTTCCACGACCTTTTTCCCATCTCTGAGCAAATCTGCGATGCGCATGAGTTGCTCCACATTGGGATGCACTTGCTCCGGAGGCGTCTTGTATTTGTTGCTGTTGAAGACGCCCATCAATCCACCCAGCGGCAACCACGCACGCATATCCATGTCCTCCTCCAGCTCCATCTCCTCTTCAACAGGCAGCATCGCCACCGGAAACGTTCGCCCCAGAAGCCTGATGAACAGAGCATATGCGCTCCAGAACATCTCCAGGTCTTTCACACAACCGCGCACCCAGCTCCAATTCGCAAGTATCCACTTCGAGCTCACCCGCAACGCAGGCAAAGTCCGCCGGAATTCAGCGCTGATCCGTTCCGCGAGAGACCCGGACGCAACATGAGGATCAACTTCGGCCAGTTCCTTCGCCCCGACGTTCAACAGAGCCGTATGCAGCGCAAAAACATGTGTCAGCTGCGCAGTCGCTTCGTCGGGGCGACACCGCCACACCGCACCCTGCGCCATCACCCCGACACGTACTATCATTTCCTCCGGGAGAGCACGGGCCGCAACGAGCCGCCCGAAACTCGCTGTCAAATGGTTCGCGAGTGCTTCCGTTCCCGGTGGACAGTCGTTGCTCCACAGCGCATGTAGAAACACCACCTCGCGCCGGAACCGGTCGATCCGCACTTTCGGGGGTCCATCGCCATCGCCTCCGATGCTATTCGCCGCAGAAATTGCGTTTGGCAATGCTTTGGCCAGCACACCCGCCAGATTCTCTGCTGCTGTCTCGAAGGGGGTGGCCACACACAATGCACGCAGATACCAGCCGACAGCAGCCAGCGTATCTGATTCGTAACTGCACGCAGTTGAGCAGCAAGTAAAGCAGGTCAGCGGCCGACTCACCCAGCCAAAATAGCCAACTGATTCGCTGCATTCCCATCTCCCGGATTCAGTCCGTGCGCCGCAAAGTACAGCGCTCTTGCGCGCGAAAAGTTCATCCTCTGCTCCATCGCCCGGCGACCATGCCCTCGGCCTTTCCCTGCAGCAGCAACAGTCACAGGCCGGTACTGTTCGCGATACCGCGCAATATCTCCAAGGCAAATCAACAATTTGCTCAACGTCCGCTGCCCCACAGCCACAAAGGGGCTGGATATCTCTCCGTCGCTCTTCTCTTCCTCATCGCCCTCTCCACCAACTCCGCCCCCTGGGAATCCAAAATGATTCATCCTGTCCCCTTCCGGCGCTTCATCCTCTCCGCCGGGCAACAGCTCGCCTGGGACTCCGTACGCACGCTGCACCCGCTGCACCAGCGCCCGATAAAACCGCTCCTCTTCAGCGAGAAACTGCCGCAGCCGCTGCTGAAGCTTGCGTGTCTCCACAATGTGCCCCGTCGGCGCTGTGTTCTTGCTGCCGTTGTTAGCAGTGTTCGCATTGTTCGCATTCGCGTTATTCGTGTTTGCATTCGTGTTTTTGCCGTTGCTGCTCGCGTTCGCGGCGTACCGCGCAAGGCGCGCCTTGTATAGCCCGATGAACGCATACGACGTCTGCATCCACAGATGCGCGACTGCTTCGCGAGTCTCATCCTCCTGCCCGTGCAGAAGGAGTAGGTGGACGTATCGGCGCCGCAGACTGGGGAATGCCGGAGAGGTTGATCAGAAGGGTCGCGGAAGACAGATACGCCGCGGAACGCACTTCTTCCGCTGAAACTCCGCCTCCCTGAAATTCGCCGGCGCCCAGACGTCCCGCCCCAACAGTACTTTGAGCCCCGCATGTATGCTGCGCGCTTCCCTGGAGTGGTATCAGCGTGACTGTCTGGTTGGAGAGAACAGATGTGCGAGGAAATTTGGCAGTCGGAGATGAGAGGGAGCAGGTAGGTAGAGTGGCATGTAGACGAGGATCAAACTGCGCCGCAAAACATACCGACTCAGCCCAATCGCGGTGGTAGACTCCATTTCTCAGCAAGTCGGTGAATACTGAATAATCAATTTGGATGGAGTTCCAATGGGTACGCTTTCTCGTGCTCGTTCTTCGGCTGCGCGTCAGTGCGCCTCCATCCCGATGCCTTGGGAGGTGTGTTGTACAGGAATCAGTTATTTCGAATCGTGTCGTGTGGCGATGTGATCCTGTACCAGGAGAAGTCGGCGCGCAAGTGTCTGGCGACAGTCGCTGCGAAGAAGCTGGAGCTCGGCACCGCCACGAGACAAACCGCCGCCAACAAGCAATCACGGCCGCTTCCGAAGCGCAATCGAACTGCTACTTTCACTCTTACTCCTCCGTCGGATCGAATGGTGACAATATTGCTCGATACTAGGGGATCCGGGAGGGTCAGGTTAAGAGGACTCACAGACCCAGAGGTGGGTAACTTGCGTCAGCAGACCATTCTAGAGCAAGTAGGAATAAGACGTTTCGAGGGCAGGGCATTACTGAACCTCGTCCATGGATCCAGAGTTGGGTATGTCTCCGTAGTAAGTCTGCGATTGAGAGGAAGAAAGTGCTGTTTACGAGACTAGTCGCCCAACCACCGTTCACCATGCTCGAAATGACAATCACCGCGACTGTCTAGGTCTAGACTTCCTTGCATTCAAAAGATAACGCTAATGCCTCGGCGCCCTGACACTGCCCTCATGTACATGGGTTCCATCTACACCATCTTCCCAGGCCCTCTTGCCAGTGACAATTACCTTGATGATTCCACCGCGCATTGCTGTCCTTCTCATTGTGTCGATCTTCTCCGCCTCTTCCTCCTTCGCTCTCAATGAAACCCACTTTGGGCTCTACAAGAACACGCATTTTGGTCCCTGCCCGACTGAAGCGCCGCCTAACGCGACAGTCCCGATCCCAGATGTCGGTGCCGGTACTCAGCTGATCACAAATGGCTCGCTCTCTGCAGCTGAGTTCTGCGACAGATTCTGGAACTACACAGTTCTATCGAGTTTGCCTGCGGACGGCGCCTTTACGCTCTGATGGGTCAATGTCTTTTTCAACATCGTGACGTGGGCGCTCGGTGCGGCCGGTCTTTGGCTGCGGTTCAGCCCCAACGACCAGGATCACTTCGAAGAGTATGAGTTCTCTGCGGTCGAGCGGACAGACGATTTTTGCGTATAATCGCTATCCTCCGATCACTGCGAGAGCGCTCACTTGTGAATCCAGCGACCCGATCTTCATCCGACCGCAAAAAACCGCGCGAACCACATTCAGTGCGATCAAGCTCTATGGACTGCTTTCATATTCACTCGTTACGACAATTCTTTGGTGGCACTCCTTCATTGTCCTCATCCGCGACCAGGCTGGGTCGCACGCCTTGCTCTCGCCCGTTGCGGTGCTCACTGTCATTGGGTACCTCGTCACCTTGGAGCGAGACATTCCGGCGCGACTCTATACGCCGCTAAGTTGGGTGTTGACCCCTGCGGCGCTGGGGCAGTTCGGAGCCTCCATTGCGGCGCTGGTGTTCTTTTATCGTGCCCACGCGCACAGCCCCCAATACACTGTCCTCCCTTCCTTCGACGTCTCCGATTACAGATGTGATGTGCGCGCGATGTTGTTTAATCCGACGAACACAACCTACCTGGTGTCTCTCGGTGCATCGCCGATTCTGCTAGCCTTTGCATTGCTGCCCCTCGCGCTCATCTTGTTTACCTGTTACGAGTCGAACCTGCGAGGTTTGGGAATCGGACTAGCTTATATTTACATACTCCTTGCTTTGTTCTAGGTCATCTCATTCGCAATCGTGGGTCAAAGAGAGACAAACCCCATCGCATGGGATCCGGATTGCGCGCTCGTCCACGTGACGATGGGCAGCGGCTATGGATACTTGGATGTCCAGGCTTCACAAGATATTCAAGCTGGTTTGCATAAAGTAAAGACGATCTTTGGGATCATTTGGTAGTCCGGCTGCATTCCGTATAGAATCATAATCAGTGTTTCAAGCTCACCATCGTGCTGGGCGGCAAGTTTTGTAAGGATTTATCGTCTTCGTCGCACTCGGGCGCAAAAATTTGGAGGTTCTCCAAGGTCGATTTTGAGCGCATGATGAGAGCGGGAGTCCCAGTCCCATTCAGCACGCGGAGGGACTAGAGCACTGGAAGCCAAGATGGCGCAGTAACAAGTTCCCCTCCTCTTCCGACCGATCGAGTTAAACACATACTCTCGGTGAGCTCAACTCGGATCCCATACAGCTCAAGGTCCCAGTACGTGCCGGCGAGCTACGTGTTTGCCCACGCTTCGTAGAATGGCTGCAGCTGACAATAAGGGCAGAGAGGGCAGAGATCTCAGGCATTCTCAGTTCCATGGGGGTATATCGACGCTTCTCGCTGTAAATGGAATACAAGTAACGTTGGGGTCTGTTCATGCCCTAGACGGACGACATCTGGCAGCTCAGCGCGCGCACTAGAAATCTAAGCGGCTAGTATGAGACTTGAATGAGACACACCACATGCCCTCTCCTTCATAAGCACGACCGGATAGCTGAGACACGCACACCCGGTTTGCTTTCTCGCGATGATATATCTCAGCGGCAGAGAACGCTCCAACAGCCAGGCCTCGAGCAATCTCCTTCCGGTCACACTATTGCCGATGCGAACGAGCAGGATGACATTCTGGGGCCGCGTCTGCACGATATTGGCGGGCGTCGTAGTGGTCGTCGTCGTCTATCATGTCTATCCTTCGGAGCCAGGCTTCCCAGAAGACATGGGATTTGTCGGGAGCCCAGAACCGATGTGGCTGATAGAGCTCGATTACAGCAAGGATTCGGTGGCAGCACTCGACAGGGCAAGTCCAGCCACACCAGTCGAAGCCAGTCCGGAATCCATCGCCGCCACGCGCATCGACGAGTTGTTTCAGCGACAATCTCAGACAATCGAGGAGGCAGAGACCCAGTATAGCCTCCGGAATGGTCGCCTTCCACCGCCGAATTTCGACAAGTGGTTCGCCTATGCACAAGAACACAAGTGTCTTGTCGACGAGTACCACCAGATTCATCGCGATTTCGAGCCCTTCTACCAGTTGGCAAAAGAAGACCCGGTGCAGTTCAAGAGAATGGTCGAATTGGGACGGCGCCTAGTGAGCAAGTGCAGATTGGCTGGAGATGTTTCGGGCTAAGAGTGTATCCATCAGATGCTGCTGGACCCAAAGGGGATGGTGACTATCAAGATCGAGAATGGCACGATCGAGATGCCGACGTATCGAGGCTCGGTGTGGGATGACGAATGGAGGGCCACATTGACTAAGGTTTGTTCGTCCCAATTCATCTGCCTATGGTCACTGAAGACTTGGCCCAGTTCCTCGACGTCCTGCCAGATATGGAGTTCCTCATTAATGGCCGCGACGAGCCCCGCGTTGTCTTCAACACCCAAGATCCCAGAAACCGCAAAACGGCGCTAGCCATCGCGGACACCCAACCATTCCGCATCCGACCGGCACCCACTTCTGATTTCTTCAAAGAACGTGCCGAGTGTCGGACGATCTTGACCGAGAAGGGGACCTCAATCGACGCACTAGAGGATGTTGCGTGTGAGTGAATCAGGACGTTGCACAAGGGGCTGACTGACCTGTCCCCAATGCAGTCATCAACTTCAGCTCCAGCTCCGACTTCACGACCGACTTGTATCCGCTCCTCAGCATGACCAAGACCACCTCGAGCTGCTTCGCGGACATCATGTTCCCGGGCCAATACTACTACGACTCGTCGCAGTGGTCAGGAAAGTTCAGCCGCCCGAACGATATCTCCTGGGAAGACAAGAAGGCCCAATTATGTGAGTTGACAAATGAATCTAGGAGACACGGAGACTCACAAGCTCGACCCAGACTGGCGGGGTTCGTCGAACGGAGGGACCATCTTGAACGACAACTATCACAAATTTTCCCGCTTCCGGCTCGTCAAGATCGCTGCCTCCCGACCGGATATCATCAACGCTCGCATGACGGGGTGGTACGCAGAGCACTGCAAGCCCGAGTACGACTGCGATGCGGGGCCCATCATCGCCGAGTATCTCGTCCCAGGCGGTTTCAGTCCTCGCGAAGAAGTGTATCAGTACAAGTTCGCCCTCGATGTCGATGGAAACACGTTTTCCGGAAGGTATCTGGGTCTTCTGAGATCCGGGTCGCTCGTTTTCAAGGCGAGCTTGCATAACCTCTACACATAGGGCGGCAATGGGCTGACCGGACCCCCAGGCGACCGCATTCACTGAATACTTCAGCGACTGGCTGCGTCCCTATGAGCACTACATCCCCGTGAAGATTGACTTGTCGGATCTGGTGGAGAAGGTCGAGTGGGCACGGGCACATGATAAAGAAGCACGCCAGATTCAGGCGAACGGAATGCTCTTTGCGCAGCGGGTGCTGACCGATAGGCAGAACGACTGCTATTTCGCCGCGGTGCTGCTCGAGTGGGGTCGATTACAGAAGATTTCTGAGGGAATTTGAAGCGGTAAAGCATAAATTGCTTGTACAACAGATTTATAGGAAGAGCGAGAGACACTGGAGACTGGATGAGGTTGTTGGTCACCTATCCGAGTCCGTCACGTCGGAAACGCGATCACGTGCGCTCAAATCTGGATCATGCCCTCCTCGTAGCCGCCCACATCTGCGATCTTCCACTTGGAGACTGTGACATGAACAATCTTCACAACCTCAACATCACGTCCGTGCAGCTTGATAGCCCGTTTGTAAGTTGCGAAGGCAGCGCCGTACACTGAGAGATCACATGAATCATCACAGGCGGGAAGTCCACAACAGAGCACTTACACAGAGCTACGATGGCAAAGAGCGGAACGCTAAACGGAACCCAGAATATTGACATGACAATCGCCAGGACTTGGAAGCGGAGTCAATGAGCTGTAGTGCCAAGATGTGGGTGGATCGTACCCAGCCAGAACGACCCGAAAAAGACCAGGACGTAAATTTGGTCGATGTTCCGTCTCAAAGATAAAGAGAATGGACCCTGATTGAGTTGTGTCGCGATAGGATGCCGGCGTCCAGCGTATAAACTGGTAGACGGTCAGACGACTACAATGGGCAGCACTCGTGATAGTGGCTCACAGCAGACCCAAGAACAGAGCGGTAGGCACCGAGAGAATGACGCTCAATATCATAAGGATATCTATCGAAAGTCTCGATGGAGATTCTTGCGACGAGATTATGACTCACTGGGGCAGCTTGCAGCGGCCATCATTACGATGAACAACGTCCAGATGACTTCGACCACGACGAGAGACGCTGATACCACAGGATGTTAATTCCACCTTGAAACGACACTGAAAGGTCTCACCCAGTATCAGGACCGTCCTGGCATCGAACTTAAACGCGGGTTTGCCGGTCTGGGAGGTCGCATCGGCGGTCTTGAGACTGGATCCTTGCGAATCGACACCTTCCACATCAGCAAGGAGAGGGGTGGAGTCACTCATGTCAGGAAATCTAGTAGTGGGCAAGTCGTGTGTGAGGAGAGGCTGAGTGTGCAAATTACACAAGTTTAAGAGGAATAAGTTGGGTCCAGCCATACTTGCCTGCTGATAATCATTTGGCAGACCGCAGTTGACCGCAGCAAACCATAATACAATTCGAAACTGATGAAAGCTCAAGCGCTCATGCGCCAAGAAGGATTTAAAATAGCCAAGAAGGCTTCGAACTCGAGCCGGTGGACAGACCAGTATGTAAGTATTGTAGAAGATAGATGGAGATATATACAGCACACAACGGAGGGGCAGATAGACAGATCTGCGACTCAGTCTTCCTCCATCTTGTCGAGCAGATGCCGCAACTGATGGAAACTCTTAAGGGTTGGGGAAGCAGGTTGTTCCGCTACCTGCAGCTCCAAGAAAGCCACCCGAGATTGCAACGCCGCCATCTCCTTCCCCATGGATTCGAGGATGTTTACGAAGGCGGCCATGTCGGTACCCATAAATGGCGTGGTTGGGGTGAGCTGGAGATCGAATTCCGGCTCTCGCTGCATCGAGCGTTGCGGATGGCGCGGATGGTCCGGAGAGGGAGACGGGTAGAACGACCCAGCATGGACGCGGTCCGGTGTCTGTCGCGGGGTGATGAGTGGTTGGTCGATGTGGCCGAGCACGGGCTGCGGATCGACAGCCATCCGATCGTCATCCATATCCTCAGCCTTGATCATTTCAGAGGCGGATGCTCTCAGGGGACCCATGAGCTCAATCCAAAAGTCCCCGCGAGAAGGTGTTGGGGTCCGAGGGACAGCAAAGCCTGCCCGCTCCGGCGCACACACAAATGCGGAATGGGGCGGACATTCGGGCGGGATCGGCGGGGCCGCACCAGAATGGACCGCAAGCCGAGATGTGGAGGCGACAGGACTTGACGGGGCCGTTGGTGGCAGTGAAATGCAGCCAGATAAACGCTTGCGGGGGTCGGTCGTCCGCTCTCCATTAGAAGCAGAGCACAGTCTCGTAGTCACCGGTCTTTGGATCGGCGGAGGCATAAAAGAATGATGAGACAGATCCATGACGGGTTGGGCCACCATCTCAGCTGGAACTGGCGGCGCAAGTGGGCTCAGACCCAGATTTGCCGGTGGCGTCCGATTAGAAACGGCTGGCGATGCAGATGCATCCTCGTATCTGGAGCCGCGACGCGACTTGACGCGCCGATTGTCAACGGAATCGTCGTTTGGGTGGTAGCGAGGGGGGCGAGCAGTCTTTATCGTGTGGTCAGTGACGGCCGTCGGGAGCTAGATGCGATGGGCTCACAATCTTGGGGGTAGAGGAAGGACTGCCCTTCATTGCAGGATATGAGTTCCCTGGACTTGCCCAGCGGAATGCCCTGGGTCCTGGATCGATTTGCAGCCTTGCCTGCAGTTCCTCGGCTGAAACTCCACCTGACAGCTGATCAGCGGACAGCCTGATATTGCTGCGCTTCTCGAATTCCCTGGAGGTCCAATCTATAAGAATCTCTCAGTTGCCCAAGCCCTTTCCCCCAAGAAAGTGACATACCAAAAGCCAAGATATCGTCTTTGTGGTAGTCTTGTTCGCTAAAAACGCGCTCAAACTGTTTCATGTCCTCGTTAGCTGAACGAAAGTAGCCGAGCGAGTAGCGCCGCAGTGCTCGGTCGAAAGACAAAGAGCGCCAACGACTCGTCAGATCCCTCGCACGATGGGCTTGCTCCAAGAGACTCTGGCACAGCCGTGCAACATGCCAAATCTCATACCTGACGGCGGGCCACGTCGCCTCAGGCGATTCTGCGGTCAGACTCGACCGAATCATTGTCCAGAGAAACTCGACGACCCATAAGACAGGGGTACGGTACTGGACGGGTAGTTGGACCTCCACGCGCTGGCCGTTGATTTGACACACGACACCAAAGAACGCGCTACTCTCTCCTCTCTCATCGTAAGCGGATGGGGACGTCGAGTGTGCACGAGGTGGAACGCTGAAGACGTGGTCGCGAAGATAGTCGATGATCTCCGTGTCCTCTATGCTTGTCGGACAAAGGAAGTCAAGTTCCGCAGGGTGTCTGGTCCATGTTTCCTTCTTATTCCGTGGTCCAGTTGGAGGAGTCCGTGCAAAAGTGCCATCTTGAGAAGATCGAGACATCCGGTGGCTTGGGGGTGTGAGACTGGCTGCGAAGTACAGATAAAAAGAAAGGGGACGCACATTTAAAGGGCCCGAGATAGACACGGCTGGTGCACGGGCAGATCTGTCAGGGCCGAATGTATGTGTGGACGCGGAGAATCTCGAGCGGGTGGGAGCAAAGGACGAATGCAAATATGAAAGACACCCCCGCCGTCAATTTCAATTTCGGCAGGCGGGGTCACAAGTCGATTGAAATAGGGTCACATAGAAGAACGGGACTCCTCGAGGCAACATACATATTGTGTATGTGCTCTTGTTGATAGCAACGGGGCAGGATAGGCTCACGGACATCTAGTGCAGGAATCCTCCGCCACCTTGGATTGTTTAACTCTAATTTCTCCGCTCTTGGAAGCTGTTTAGCTTTGATACGGGCGGGGAAATTCCTGTTCTTTTCTTCAGGACAAGGAGAAAGTTAAACGGGTAAAAAAAATGGAGCAAGTCGCGTGATTGGTGCGTGATCCGAAAACGTCGATCACTTTCGAAATGGCCCAAATTGGCTCAAAATATAATGATCTCTCACTTTTCCGTCGTTGGTTGAAGAAAGGAAAAACTTTGTCCAATCTGACACAACTCTCGAGGCACTGTATCACTCTAATTTCTGAGCGGAAAAGTCAAGAGTCTGACCCTGTTCAACTCGATCTCGGAAGATCTACTGAGTCGCTATGGGCTCGGCAGGATGGAGATGCACCCTGCCTGCACGAGATTTCGAATGGGATATTCAAATCGCCGTCATAGAGGGACATTGGCTAGGGTATGACATGCTTCGCCACCGTTGGCTGGTATATTGTTCTGAACTAATCGAGTCACGTGTTTGAGCAGTTCGAATGTTCCTAGGTAATTGTAATCACGATCCACGTTCATATTCCTTGGTTCCGAATGAGTTGAGATATGCTTGAAGTTGATAGATATAGGATTGCATTTCAAATAAGTGAAAAAGATACTTGTACACACTGGGAAATGGATATGTATGCAGGCGGAAGACAAATCCGTGCTATCACCACGGCAGCTGCAGTGGCTCATTGGCAGCGACATCGGGGCCAAGTACATCGGGTGCCGTCCCAATATCCCTTCATCATGGTGAGTTCTCTCCACTTGTGATAAGTGGAATGACAGACCTTGCACCCCGGGGAGCCCAATACTCGCCTGTTTGCTCGATAGTGAATGTGTCGATGAAGGAGATCAGTGAGGATGCTGCCTCTTGTGGCGATACAGCACCGCCAGACTCCCAGTACTGATCATATCCCACGTTGCGTGTTAATTCGGTGCGCATGAACCCAGGCTGTGGGACAATAAGTGCAGAAATTAAGCAATAAATGCGTGTGCATGCAGAAGTGACGCACGTGAACAAGCGCAACGGAGATCCCCCGATCCTTCAAGTCGAGACTGAGGAGTTTTCCCACCATGTTCAAGGCAGATTTGCTGGCGTGGTGCGCGTAATTCCCACCGCCCTCCTTCTCGTGTCGCAGTGCAATCGATCCCGACTCGGAGCTGACCAGGACGACCTTCCCTCCTTTGTCTGCAGAGCCAATCGCGGTTCGGATCTTGCCTGCGGCGACGAGTCCCTGCACAACGAAGAGCGGCCCGATCGCGCACGTCGTATACATCTTGACTTCCTCGCTCCATTTGGGTTCGTCGAAGGTCTCGCTAACGAAGTACCCCGCAGTCACCACGAGGATATCGATCACGTCGTGCACGGGAATCGCTGCGGCAAGCGCTTCGCCGGCAGATTCAGAGGCGATGTCGATTGAGGGGATCCATGTCACATCCGAAGCTCCAGTGGTTGGTGGGGTGTCGGAACGCGACGTGGCATAGACAGTGTGTCCTGCATCGGAGTACGCAGACGCGAGCGCGTCGCCAAGACCGCGGGTGGCACCGACGATGAGGACTGTTGGCATTGTCGTTGGATGTGGCAATGACCGAATCTATTTGAACACTGTTTGGTTTGGTAGATGGGAACCACCCCGGACCGCAGGTCCGTTGATCGGAGATCATGACACTGACAACCTCCACGTGTTTTATTTCTTTCCCAAGAGATTCCAAGACAAAAAGCGGTAGGGTCGGAGCGTTCGAGGCCCTAGTTTTAAAGCGTGACCAGGTGCACTGGAGGTTTAGAGTGGTCGAGCCATTTAAGAAAAATACCCCCGGATCCGTGCTTGCCCTTCAGCACCCGCGGTCGCAGACCTTCGTTACTAGTCGTTGCTGAGACATGACAAACATAAAACGATCCTGCCAGTCGTTGACGACGTCCCGTTCCACGAGTGACACAATCAACCTCCAACTACAAGTGCCGAATTTTTGGCAGCTGCACAAGGTGAAATAGTGCTCTCCGCTGAGGCTTTCTTGTTATCCCACCCGCAGGCCAATATCATCTCAATGTTCGCACATTGTGTTAAGCGGAATCCGATACTGTATCTATTTGTTTGACTTCGATACGCAAGTGCTTGCCAACGTCGGGCCTACGGGGTCTGCTGAGCTGGGCTGTATCCAACCTTTGGCAAGTTGAACAACCGGCAATCAATTGCAGTCCATGGAGTTGCCGGATTTTCCACTGACAGGGCCCAGAACATGCCGTCATCTCCGGCTCGGCTCGGAGATCGCCCCGGAGTCTGCTGCGGGTGCGGCGTTCCTTCGTTCCTGACCGTTTCTTATTCGCTCCCCTCGCCTCGCTTTCCCGAACGATCCTTCTCGTTCTGCTCGTGCAGAACACACTTATCCTTATCCTTATACTGTCGGTGCCGACTGGTTCTCCAGACTTGCGCGAAGCTGCGCCAAAACATCCTCAGGGGATCCTTGTAGGTGGTGTTCCGCACTTTTGAGTCCATAGTTACTTACTGGACTCACACGCTAGGAGCGCGCCGTACGATGACATCGTACATCTCCATTCCTATACCCACCGCCGTCGTCCTCTCCACGGTCAACTCTTTTCTCGCGCCTCCGGGTCCCTCCTCGTCCTTCCGTTTCGAGGCGGCGATAGTCGCCCTCTGCATCATCCTCTTCATCGGACTCATTGGCGCTCTCCAATGCATGCACAACTCGTGGAGGCAAGCTCGTCAGCGACGGCATTTCTCGGAGGACCTCGAACGCCAGCGTCTGATGCACGAATATTTGTGCTTGGAACGGCAGGCGGACGCATGGAAGGACGCGCCGTGCCCGCCCTACGAACCCTCTCCGCCTGCATACCTCGCCGAGGCCCCCGAGTCACGGACGTCTAGCAGACCAGTCGAGTTACTTCACTGAGTCGTATTCCCTGTACATTCTTGTATTCGTATCCTGCATGTAATCGTAGACAAATTCATTATTTGGGTTCTCATAGTTTTCTGCCTGACATCCCCCGACCGTCGACCGCGGTCGTCAGCGGCCTTGTTTCGGTGATCTTCCCGGCGGGTCGGTGCATTGTATCTGGGGAGAACACCACGAAGTCGGGTCGCTTCCCCAGTTCTATCGATTCCGTGTCGGATTCAGAGATGGTTGCATAGGCTGAGTCGTTAGTCATGCCTTTGGGACAAGCTTGTGTCAATCATTTCAGTTCGAGTTGGCTGGCTGTGCACCTACCCCGAAGCGCCTGGATCCGTGTTCGTATTTGCTTTGGAATCCTGTTGGTTATTCAGACTGAGCACTTCCTCAATATTCCAGACCGTCACTGACCATCCTTTGCTCTTGCGGGGGGACGTCTCCTTCACCGCGAGACGCGTAACGGTAGCGTAATATCCCATCATCGGGTCCATGATTTTGAACTGAGAAGAATCTGAGCCAGGGTGATCTGAGTGGCGGAGTCGAGCCCAAGTCAGAAGGCATATAAAGCTTTCACTCGTCCCCGGGCCCTGGAAACAGCGATTCAGCACGTGGCGGCATCCCCTGTACGTGCCCATGCTAGACGATCCTGTGCATTCTCCATGTCACCCATCCTGGTTGGATTTCGATCAGTCGAGACCCTCCGGCTCAGCTCCAGATAAGCCCCGCACGCGTGACTGCGTTGGACACTGGAAATTACTGAAATCTGTGCGTGAGCATCGGATGCAGTCCAAGTCATATGATCGCTTACCGCCCAATGTGCCCAGTCTTCCCATATCGGCTGGGGTCATTAACAGTGCGTGCAAGAGCCTAGGCTGAGCCGCAGACATATTAACGCCCTGGAGCGAAGCCGTAGATGCATCGAGGACGCCACCGTGGACACGATCTCCGATTGCGTGAATGTCGACTTGCCAACTGTCCTTCAGGATTTTTCAAATGACAGCGAAGGGCACCTGAGGCTCTAGGCGAAGGAGACCGGAAGTGTTCGGATTGAGCCCGAATAGCTCGTACAGCGGCAAATTCAAATTAGTTGGAGTGCTCTGATTGCCTGCGGGAGAGATCGACCGCGAAGCCACCTGAGGAATGCAAGTTTGAAGGCACCAGAGATCTTTCTGCAGTGGAGACATGCCATCTGCAAATATGTGGACACTTCTCGCAGTCAACTGCCCATTTCCCAGTCCCACGAAAGGTCTAATCTTCACACCCCATTACGGTGTCTTCTCGTTCGAGTGAAAGAAGCGCATCGCATGGATTCGGAGCTACATTTCCGCGATCATTATCTCTAGGCTCCAGAAAATTAAGTGACTCGCTTGAATATCATCGTCTTCTGCTTGCCTTCATTGAACCAATTTTCTACAGCCTCGAAAATCTCGCTGATACTGTAGAACACCACACCTTGGAACGAACGCTAACGATGAAGGGTCTAGCGCAGCATGCATCGTGTTCGGAAGTCAACGGGCCATAGGCGAGTGCCTCCTTCAATGCGACATTCTACCTGTCATTGAGCTCGTCTTCAGTCAAACGCGGAATTACGATAAGATCCTGGCAATGTCAAGTAGAACACCTGAGGAAACCAATCACAGTGGGTACGTGAGCCGGAGAAAAAATACTGAGGGAGAACCGGACTGGTCCCCGCACGACAACATCGCCTTCAAGCTCATTTGGAAGAGCCAGATCTTCTGGAATCCGGTCCGAAACACAGAAGGCAGGACATTCCTTTGACTGAAGGACGATGTTTTGCCCCCAGAGCCAGATCGACGTCCAGTGCCGCCTGTGAAGATAACCGTAACCGTATACATAAGTCAAGTTTTACTTTCGTGTAGGTTTTGAACGACTCACCGCCGTCGGCCAATGAGCGTTAAGGGACGTGTGATCCCAGCGTCACCCCCAAGTCCACGCTTCTAGATTTTGCATGAAGCCAGGATTGCTGAGACTATGCTGTTTCTCACGGGCGACTGTTTCTGTACATGAAAAGCGAACATGAGTATCAACGATGGAGTGAAAACAAATTGCCATCATTGGACGTGGGTTACCACTGGAACCGGGGAATACTATGGTACCCTGTGGAACAAAGCACAGATTAGAAACCGCCTTGGTTTCATCTCCAAGTAGTGTAAAGATAAGAAGCTCCGCCAGAAGCCCCTCGCCGCACCAATGCTGCCTGTCCGCACGATCCCACAGGCGTTCAAGACGAGACACCTGCTTGTCAGCTGGCGTGATCAACGGTGCGGATGCTGCCCTCGCCCGAATACACGGCATAGAAGCCGTCTGTTGCAGCCGACGTCGTGGTGAGACCAAGTAGCGAGCTCCGATGCAGCGCGACAGCTGTAACGGAGAGTGCCACGCCTACTGGTAGCATTGACACGACACTGGAAGACGAGCGTCGAGGCAACAGCGAAGAGAGATACGAATCCGAAGAAGAATTACCCGGATCCAGATCTTTGGCGCTGGTAGAGCTGGAGAATAATTTGTAAGGTATCGATCCTCGAAATGATGATGGATGAATTGGAGCTGGACACGCCCACACTTCTTTGTAATTGAACCATGAAGGCCAATCAGGGATGATGAGAAGCCTTCACACGCACCATCGATTCGTTGTAGCTTCTCGTATGTTCTCTTCGCAGACGAATGATTGAAGATCCGATTCCACAGAAAGCCGCACGAAAACTAATCAACAAACGCTCATTCACTCTCCATCTTCTTTTGATTGATTCCACAGCTCATATTGAACTTCAACCATCGTTTTCCGGGGGGGATTGTGGGCGGATCTCTACCATGTGTGGAGAGGGAGTCAAGGAGATGCGGCAAGTTGCGCAGGGGATCAATTGGATCGATGCCGATTCTTTCTCGTCTCTTCCAACCATCTTCGGCAAGTCTGATCGTCGCGTTGTGATTGCGATGGTGCGGCCAATCGCTCATTTCGGCCGATGGGGATCGCACGCCAGGCCTTGTGAGCAAAGATCCCGATGGCTCTGGCTCTGTACATGCCAGAGGATGTCGCTGGTGGGTGCTTTGTGAGATAGTACACATAGATTTAGAGTACGGTAAACTAGGTAGATGTAGGATACATGATAAGATTAGAGTGATGTTGCTGTATATAGGTATATCATATCATGATCATGGGGAGGCTCTGCACATTAACGACCCTCTTCTGCGGCATCTGTTTCAACGCATCACAGGCGCGGAATCAATGGTTCAGAATCGGCGGTCGGCAGACCCGAGATCTCGGCCCGCCCCGTGTCAAATGAGCTCGACATCGGCGATGAGCCCGCGACTAGGGACATCCCGCGAGGCCTCGCTGCGGAGCTCAATGCCGGGCCGGGATGTACAAGCGACAGAGAAGAGGCCCTGCGAGCTCGAGTCGTCCGTCTCGGTAGACTGGGCCCGAAGACCAACTCCACGGGGATATTCTCACCAAGGGTGCGGGAGACCTTAGCGAGCTTCACACGTCGGCGGGTGTTGTTGACACCAGCGAACGTCTCGGATGTGGGCGTCGTGGAGGACAGTGGCGTGAGGCAGGATGCCGATGCGGGCGAGGCGGGGGAGTTCGGCACGGCCACGGACGAGGCGCTGGGGACGCGGACAGACAGGACGGGTCTTTTCGAGGATGGCGCGCAGCGGGCAATGTCCTTGGGGTCGACGAGTGGCAACAGATCGACGATGATGGTCTCGCCGAGGATCGACTCGAGTTTGCGGGTGGTGCGGAGGAGGCGGGTCCGTTGGGTGATAGGGAGTGTCGTTGCGCCGGGCATCGTGGTGGAAACTATGTATGGGCGGGGGAGTGGACAATTGGGGTAAAGGGAACAAAAGAAAAAGGAAGCTGTGTTTATCGACAAGACCCGAGCCTTATATAAGGACCGAAAGCGGTTGTCTCAGACACGGGCCAGAGCGGTGCAGCGAAAAGGGGCGATCGAAGTTGATCGAGGCCCAGGCGACAGCCCGCACAGCATCCCAAGCATGCAAATCCAATCTGTCGTCTTGCTTGCGAGTGTATTCTCGAGACACGATCACATGAGATTCGCATGTAGCAATTGCGGAAATACAAAATTTCCCCTTCATTCCCAAAGGGGGATCGACTGGACAACAGATTTGTACTGAGCAGCGAACGCAGGCGGAGGTGTCAAATGCACGACGAGGTAATCCTGGTGCCATTGCGCAATCAGCGGACGTGCCTTGGGAAAGACTCAATTGACGCACTCTGACACGCACAAGCCCTGCGTCAAACGGCGGAATGACCGCGGAGCAACGAATCTCTCCCATCCAGACCAATCCTTCAGCCATCAATCCGCCACCCGAGCTCGGGGCGTCGACAAGCCGGAGAGGAACAGCTTCAGCCAGGGTCGCCCTTCGCGCTGTAGGCCGACCATGCAAGTCGACACCAATTTCTCTCTGCACAGTGCATTCGATCCTGACGCCCAACAGTCGCTGGAGAAGCTCAGAACGAGTTGTCAGTCGCACTTCCACCCGGAAGATGCTGCGGGGCCGTTCGGAGAGGAGAAGCTGGGATGGAACTCAATGGAAAATATTTGCATGACAGCAGACCCTGCTCACTTTGACACTGAGTGGTTCTGATTTGCAGGAAGGGATCGGGATTACGACTTCCCGGCCAGACTCAACTTTCCCATCCATGGAAGGCGAGCGCAAATGAGATGCGATGTCATACATGAATGGCACAGACATTCTACAAAGATGTGACCAATGAAAGCACGCGTGGACAAACCCACTCACGTCTTGTTACTGACATGCAGATGATGCAGATGATCTTTCCTCGTCACGACCACGACGACATGATATCCACTCTTGGCCGATAAACCGGGGAGCGACACCTCATATGTTGGGGGGAGGTCATACATGGCATGTCTCTCCGCTCGCTGAAATCGTGCGGGGAGCACGAACAGGAAAGGAAGGCGCATAGGACACACGGACGCATCCCCCTGTGCAGCTGAAGCAGAGGCGGGCCACAGTTTCTGTGTCTCTCGCACCGTCACTAACGTGACGCATCCTCGCAAGCGCAGTGCCGCCTCGATCCTGCCGCGAATCTGCACTACCCAGCCGCATTCAACTCAGATTAAAAACGAGAGACAAAGGAGAACAATCACCTGCACGACGACGCTGAGCACCGACTCCGGTTGTTCCACAAGGACTGTACCCGTCATCTGCGCTCCCGGTCCATATTGAGGTGCATCGGGGTCTGCACGGGAATCAAGCTGGTCGTGCAATATGAGGGTCTCCCGTCCGCATTTCCGCACGTAGTCGCTCGTTGATCTACGGCGACCTGGCGGAGACCGTTGAAGGAGGACCTCGCCCTGACGGAGGTTGCGCGAGTAGGTCGGCACTTGGGTGGGGGCGAGATTGCCTGAGATGGGGTATGAGGGAAGGACGAGGGACGGAGAGCCAGACATAGGGTGCTCGAGTGCGGAAAGAGCGACGTTGAGTGGGCTGATAGCTGAAGAAAAGGGCGACAATCCACGCATCTATCTGGACCGGTACCGCTATGATGTGCGCGCGCGCTGAACTGTGATCCTCGACGCGACCAAGCGTCAGCCAATCGCAGATAGAGCGCTAAATACGCTGCATTTGAATCGCGAATCGCACTCATACGACCCTACAGCGTAAATCTCGCAGTTGCCGGACTTTAGTGTTCCGCAGTGTCACGTCGCCGTGGTAGGGCATCTGAGTGCGTCTTCATAGTGACCCAAAGACGAAGCAGTAGTGACAGCCGGTGGCGTACTCGGCCTCGGGTTCCTGCTCTGCAAAGGTCAGGCAAATGTCGGGATCTGCGCAAAGCGTGTCCCACGGTCACTTGAAATGTCAATGCCATCGCGAATTCAGATGGACATCATGTGACTTCCCACGTTGATGGATGGGTACAAGCACAGACAAAGCGACCTCCTAGCGGAACACTAGTGAGCACCCTGCCCGGGTGCCCCTACTAATTATCTTTCCACTTCGCTGGCTCTCCGACTACGCCAACATTCTTCGAACCGAACTCGTACAATGCTAAACATCCGACACCACTCCTCTCCGGGATCTCCTCTGGCATTTGTACCAGAACTGCAATCTGTATCGTGACTTTGCCGAGATTGTCAGTGGCCTCCGGAGCTCTCACTTGCATGTCTTTGCCATCTGTAGCCGAACTTGGAGTGTTCGCACCCACTTGCAATGCCCTACTTATCCTCATCACAAGAGGTGCTTGCAATGTTCGATTGCTCTCATCGCCGGCCGGCCTTGCCTTCAGATTGCTTTTCTCATCATCTTTTTCGGTGGGTGAAGAGATGTCCGACAGGCCGACTGGCTGCTCACATGGACGCCTGATTAGGATGGCGGACCTCTCGATCGCCACACAAGACGCACTGTTAAGCTTTCCCACTGTCCCACAGCGTGACTCATGTCCAAGTACACGTCAAAAATTCTCGGCCTGCGTCGGACGATGGCGTGTTTCCTCTGCATAGACCCGTTGGCAATTGGGACGCCTGTTCTGCGCCGGCCGATGCATGTCCGTGTGACGAGGCTCCCGGTGATCAAGATGAGCACGACGACGGTCACGATAAACGTGTACGCTGCACACCAAGTCTCATCCTCGGCGCCAAACGCAAGGAGCTGCACGCACTGTAGAACTTGGGGGCATCCATCGGCACCACGCCGAAAGTCTCTCCAGCGGCTGTTGCCGCGGGCGGATTCAAGTTTGCGGATGTGGTTGCGGACATGAGCGTCAAGAGCAAGTATGCTGTGGTCTCGGCGCTCAAAGAGACTCTCAACGCAATCGAACATGCCCCGGCGGTCACCCACAGCTTGTGTGGCACTTACAACATGATTGCACGCGCCCGTCTCGGCGATCAATGAAGTTCGAGAACGAACTTCCTGCTCTGGGACTCGGACACACTCTCGCATTGACCCGGGTATTGCATGTTGTTACACTAAAAATACACTGTTACACGTCCTCCTTGGCAGGGAACGATTCTGACCCAGTCCGCGTCTCGCCGAGATCGGCATTCAGTAAACCCACTTCGAAGTACGGCACCTTCTCCTCTTCTCCGAAGGAGCCACTGGTCCTATGGGACGAGTGATCTGACAACGACTCGGTGTCGTGTAGAGGATCTGGCATGCGGACTAGAATCGCTAGTTGTAGCATTCTGCGATCCTCCGATGTGCGGATGGGCGCGGAGATGGGCGTCGGCGGTGGCGGAGAGTCGACCCGGCTTGGAGCAGGCGTCGGCTGCAACCAACTGTATATTGGGATGAAGTTGATGAGATGCCTCCTCACTCCGTTCCAAAATCTCCGCCTTCTCGTCAGTCGCGGCTGGACAGAGCGCGCGGACTGGGTATATCGCGCCTTCTGTGTCTGATACTGCGCCAGTGAAGCGGCATCCGTCGCAGAGACGGGCTGCACGGCTCGTCAATTTATCGGCGCAGGACAACTTGATACAGAGCAAACGCACACTCAGGACATCCCATCTGCCGTCCTTGCTATCCCCGTGCTCCCACTGCACATACACATCGTACATCTGCGGCTTCTCCCTCACGGGCTCCGATTTGTAAAAGCGGCTCAGGTCGTCATCGGGGACGAACGTCCCATTGGCGATCGCGATCTGCCTTCTCCGTCGCAAGAATATGGATCGGATGACCACGAAAGCGGTGATGAATCCAAGAACGATGAGCGTGACCAGTACAGTGCGCACTAAAAGACAGTCAGTCAGCTCATACTAAGACTCGTAAGGACCTGTCGGACGTGCCATAGAGCGTCGAGCTCGACCCGAAAGGCTGATCGCATCCAGACCCAGAACACGGGGAGCTGTTGCTCGTGGATGCTGCAGCGCTATTACTTGGCACGGGAGTGGTCATGAACGCAGGAATAGACGGTGGGGAAAGGATCGGGGATCAGTGGGGATGGCGGCTCGATATGTATTTAAAAGTGACCCTGAGTCTTGTGACCGCTTTCATGGTGAGTGAAGGCTCTGGCAGGATCTGGCCCCCGCACTCAAGTGGCGGATGTAGTATGCGATGTCACACGCTTTCTAGCCGATGGTATTTCACAAGGCCGCATGACCCTCCATATTTATTTTAGGCTTGTTCCTGGCAGATGCCCTCCACAACGCAGCTCGCCATCATGGGAATGACCTGCAGAATTACTATAAATAGGCATAAAACTCACACGTTTCCCCAGACTCACGTCTGAGTTACGGAGCTCCATGATTCCCCACGGCACCTGACGTGCACGACACCCATCTCTAGATGCGGCAAAAACTTCCCTTCGGCCAGTGTACTCGTCATCGGCTCTGGCATGGCTATCAGATGGGCGATGCGCATCTGCCCGCCGCTCGGAGCACGGGCAGTGGGCAAGGACTCCATCGGCAGTGCCGCCAACGGGACGTGTGGGCGGAGCAGTCGCGAGAGCCGAGCCAATGGCATCCTGAGAAGAATCCCACCGGGCGGCGATTTGAAACTCGCATGGGGTGCTGCCGTCTAACGTTGACCAGATGGGACATGGATTGTTTTGGTAAGCGCGATCATGATCCAACCATTGGGGTCTCGTTGATTGGTACGGTCACAGTGTGACGCACCGAGATAACTCATTTCGTATCCATTTCGAACGTAAATCGTATCCAATAGGTGGTACTCGAAATCAATGAGAGTGTGTTTGTGATGAGAAAATGCTCTCTGTAATTTTAAGTCAAGACCACCCTTCCGACAGTCAATGAGCTCGAGACAATCACCTCCCAGGCATCATAGAGACCTATGATTCGAAAAACAGACTTTCAGGACGTCTACATATTGAATGCTATTAAAATTCGACTAATCCATGTTAAAATATCGGGGATTGACTAGCGCAGACAGCGTTGGGTGTGCCTGCGGCGGTCTCCGGAGGGTGGCTGTGCTTTGGAGGGCCACAGAGTGTCACATACGTCACACTGGAGCGCTGCCAGATGTCCCGCCGAGGCCACAGTGCTGTGGAGTCTGCGGCACACTGTTCTGGAGTGCCGCAGGAGTGAGATCTCCATCGCTGCCGTGACGCCGTCGTTCAGAACGGCGTCTGGAATAGTCCCGTTGGCTGCGCGGATCATTCTCACGTCGATCAGCGTCTCAGCAGACATGGACAGCATGTTGATCGTCCTCTATCGTCCTCGTTGTCGTTGAGATCAATCATGTGGAGTATTTGGAGTGCGGCAGGAGTACTCACTCCGCGGCACTTTTCAGTGAGCCCAGTTCCGCTTGTTCTTGACGGTAAGATCAACTGCGTTCCAACTTTAAAATAAAATAAATCTTGACGGTAAGAATCTGCAGCTGAATTTGAGGAACCCTGGAGGACGCATAGAATGTGAAGCCTCACCTAATGCACGGTTGTACTCGAGTACATGTCCCTGTCCACTGTGACTTGCGTCAAATGCGCGACTCGGAAGAGTTTTGAGCATTTACATACGCCCGGGAGCTGCGTCGCCCGCGTCGGCCCGACGCTGATGCCGACTGACGACGGGCTCGTAGCGTCAGCATTGACACTCTTAGTAAGCAGGTATAAAGCGAAAAGTAACGCGGTCCCAAGACCCCGACCACTTGCCTGTCTCCGGAAATCAAAACAATCCATGTCCCATCTGGTCAACCTTAGCCGTCGTGGATGATGGAGATGTATACTTCGCCGTCATTGGCTGCGTTCAAGTATATAGCCGTGAGCCGCGAATAGATCCGGCCGCGCCCGCACTGGATCCTCTCACCTGAACCCCGTCCCAGCCCATATCACCCTCGTGCATCGTAGCAAGAACGTGATGATCAAATATTCGCGGTGTGCTGGGGATTTGGTCTCGCACGACGCGCCCCATCGAAGAGTCCCAGGTGCCGCCTGCTATCGCCCTCCGCCGCGCATCTCGCGCTCGGAAGAAGGTGATTGCGGTGATAGCCAGCACTATGCCCACTATGCCCGCGAAAATGTACACTGGCAGCGATCACCGATGAGAAGTGCAATTGCCCCATGAGCAGATGGACAGACCATATAGCAACGTCGTGCTCGAATTGAGCGGAGAACTGCCGGTGGCAGCAGATGGTGATGGCGCGCTCATTCTCAGTCAAACACGAGAAAGTTGGGCCTCTCGGTCGCCCGCAGCACTATATAGGCATGATGGACCAAGGACGGGATGAGCATTAGTCATGGGAGGCGAGGCAGTGTGAGTATCTGACAAGGGCTGTACATTACATTCAAAGAGAGGATACAGGAGTGTTTCGAGGAGGTTCAATGGAACGCTTTGACCTCGATTCGCGAGAGAATAATGTAGGACGGGGACGTGGTCAGAAGCTAAGAAGCAGAACACATGGGCCACTGGCATTCGGACGATGATTTCCGATGTCACCCGAATGAAGCCATCAATGATTTCAATGAGGGAGGAAACCTGGTAGATCATCCCTGCTTGCGTGTTTTTTCGTAAGGTTTCTCAGACTGAACGACTCGGAAATATCTCATCCAATCGAAGTGACTGTCGTCAGAAAAAACGCATTGGATCTTAGCTGGGACGGTGTGACCACAAGGCAAGATGTCCGAGTGGTCTAAGGAGTGTGACTCAAGCGCTAGGCTTGCCTGCATCAGCGGGTTTCTCATCTCAGCAATGGGGCGTGGGTTCAAATCCCACTCTTGTCATGTTTTTATTTTTGAACTTTCAGCTCTCTATTTATCTTCAAACAAACTCGCAACCGTTCCCATTAAAATTCCAAATCATATAAATATTACAAACATTCGCCCAGACCGCTCCATGCATTACACATTCCTTCTACATCTTTCGGTCAGACCGTGTATTCATCCGGGTCGCCGGCACCTCGAGCAAACAACATAGTGCTCTGCTGATCTCGAGCTGTCGCCTGGGATTTTTCTCTGCTCTGCTGGAGGGTGGTGCTCGGGGCCGTGGAGTTGAGATTGACAACGTCGCCTGAGGCCGCTTTGCGCAGATTGATGAGCATGCGCGTGGTCATGATGCCTACTGCGGCGTGGAATGGTCTGTGAAACATTTTGTAAGGACGAAAGTTGCAGATGAAGACCCAGACTGACCCATAGCTAAACCAAGGAATGTGGGTCACGCTCTGCTCCGATTATCAGGATGGGGCACTGAGATGAACGGATGCTACTTACGACGACCATCAACTGTACGAGTCGAGTTACTCAGTGAGGAGACCGGAGAGATTGGAGCCGACTCACATTGTTGAACACGAGTATTGCAGTCACGCTGGAACGTTAATCAGCTGTGTGTGCTCAGTCCAATTTGGGTTGACTTTACTCACCCGAAGAAGTAAAGAACATTATCGCGCAATAACAACTCATGCAACGGAAGTCCTGCTCCCCGCCTGAGTGTCAGAATCGTCGACTCGCATGTTTTGTACAGAGCGAAGCCGAAAAGAACTCCTTCGAATATAGTAGCTGCGGGTGATGATCAATTCCGGATCTCTAAAATCGAAGCGGGCCGGTCACCTGGCACCCATTGGGCCCACTCGATGCCAGAGTGCACACTCGGGCACCCAGGGAGATTGAGATGGATGACGCTGGCGATGACCGACGCGCGTCGCGAATGGTTGAAAATCAAAATCCACATGAACCCGGCGATGGAACCGATGAAGAGCGCCAAGTTGAATGCAGCTACCTGATTAGATAAGAATAATCAGCTTCGTTTCATATCTGAGCTGCGGACGCACACGTTTCGAGCAGCTATAAAGAGCATAGACACGGAGCTGCATGATGATCTCAACACTCCACAACGAAACTGCGCCAACGACGCGGATTATGGTGTCCATGGCGACGCATCTGCACTCAATCAACAGTCAGACCGTGAGCTTGAGAACCCGGCATACAAATTGGGAGATGTGATCCCGGGTCTCGCGAAGACATGAATCTGAACAACGTCGAAGAGCAACAGTGCAATGCTAGAAACCGATCGTCATTGAGAATTCTGTCTTGATCCAGGTTGAGACGCACGTGTAATAGCGAATCTAGGGGGCGAATATGCGATGATCAGTAATCTGGACCCCCAGTACTTGATACTCACCCAGAGAAACATGAATTTGCTCGGTGACATGCGCTGGGACTAGATATCGCCTAAATAAATCGTCGCGATTGAATTCAAGTATGCGCACCCAGATGTATCTGATCTATCAGGCTGTGAGTCTAGTCGAACCGACGCATTTTGAGGGCACAAACGCACCTCGTCCTCGAGAGTGATAACTTTGTGCGAGTGAGTGAAATGCCATGATAGTGGACCGGAACGCACAATAGTCATGCAGCACCCAGGTAAGGCCGACGACTGAGTGGTTTCGTGAGCACAATAGATGCCGAGTCCCTATAGCGCAACCACTTACGGACGACATGGAGCGGGATCAGATTACCCAGCACCAATGCAATGAGATGGGCTTCATCCCCAGAATTGGCGGCGGGGATGCTCGACGAATTTGTTGCAGTCGAAGGTGAGTAAGACATGGCCTAAGAATCAAGCGGCGAAGAGAAAGGTCAAGGATAGCAGTAGGAGGGTTCCTACTGGGAGAAAGGGAAGCCAAAGATGCAGAATCATCCCCTCACTGCACAGTAATAAGATGATCAAATTACTGCAACCGGGGAGAGCAGCTCGGGAGCGGGAACAGATCTAACGACATCCCAGCTCTGAATGCAATGTATGCGTGAATCAGCGCAGATCGCAGGTCACAAAACATCGAAGAACGAGATGGCGATGAACAAAGTGCCACCTAGATCAGTTCGGTGCTTATGTGAGGTATTCTAGTGCCCCAGCAGGCAGTGTAGAAGGCAATGATAGTAAGCGAGCCAGCGGTGATGCGGAAGATGCGAGGTTCATTATCGTTCCCGCAGATCTTGAGTGTGAGATTCCAAGAGATCCTAGTAGCTCTGACCCATCATTGGATCCGGAGTCCCACGGTCGGAGACATTCGCCGCATACTATTGTTCATACACTGTGTTTCGTTGAGGGCAAGCTGATTGCACGGTCGGAGAGCAGTCATGACCCCAGATTCCACAGGGCGTGAATCATGCATGGTAAGTATACAGATAGGTCCAGTGAACCTACGTCTTGAAGATGAAGAAAAGAACCTATCACCCATCACCCGCCGTTCTCGAGATCCATCGCAAGCACGTGGATTGCGCTCGCGCCTCTGCTACCAGCTCCCCGTTCCACCCGAGGTCGAGGTGTTCTGTCGCGTCCATCTCAGCGAAGCGCGCGGCAATCCAAATAACGCCAGCTCACGGTTGTGTCCTGTCTCTTGACTTCGACGTAGATGAAAAGCAGCAGCAAGAACACCTCGTCCTCAGCGAGCGCTGTGGATGTGAGATGCACGACAGGCGGTGGACATTTGGAGAAGAGGTGCGGTCTGAATGGAACACAGAAACGGGCGAGCGTCGCTCTCCCTCCCTCGATGGTCGCCTGGCGGAAGGTCACAAGCAAACGGCAGGACGACGCGCGTCGGTGACGGACCTTCCATTCCTCGTGCGTATACGACATCTCGTACTCTGTCCTCCTCGCTGACCACCGCCAGAACTTCCTCCTGGGCGCGTACCACGTCAGGCCCGAGATACATGCGCGCCGATCCCGCTGTACGCACTTACGAAACAGACTCCCCTCCGACCGCTTCAGATCCTGGATCTTCTTCCTCTTCCCAGAGATCTCGAAGCTCTTCTCCTTCCAGTATATCGCGCCGACAACCGCGCTCGTTCCTTTCACGGGGTTCTCGTCGCGAAGGATGGTGAGTATGCGTCCGTGAAAGTCGAACTTGGTCTGCACGCTGTACATAACCGCGCCGTCGAGCTTAGCACAGATACGCGCATTAACGATGTTCGTCTTGTTGTCGAAGAGAGCTTCCATCTGTGGGATACACTACCGGTGTTTTGGAGAGAGAGAGAGGATTCTGGCAGAGTGCAGGCAGCAAGCCCTCACCCGCGGTCAATACAGTCCGACTGACACGTTGATGGGATCAGGACGGACCAGTTCAGAGTACCCCTATGTTGGGTATTATAATGTAAGTTTTAAAATTGAGAGCTTATTTCTATGGCTCAACAACGGGGTTTTCTTGCTATAAATATAGTCCATTGACGAATATGAGCCGAATGCTATCATGCGCTCAGTGGTATCAATTATGCCCTCTCGCCCGACTTGAGTCTTTTCGGCAGCCTCAGCGCGTTGGCCACCGAGCACAGCGCAATCGTGGCGATGATGAGGTAGCCGAGATATCCCCCAGCAAGGTTATACTTCACGGAGACGGCGAACAGAGAAGAGCTGAATGTGGGTGCTAGGCTCCGAAGCAGGGTGCCGATCATCTGGCCCAGTCCATTTACTGCACCAACATTGGCTTTGTTCGGTGATGAGTCCATGAGGAAGATAAGCGTTGATGCTGTGAGCCGGTCAATAGGAGAGCGCCGGGATTTGGATCCTACGCACCATAGGCGAAATACTTGACCAGTCCACATCCCAGCTGCAGGGCCAGCACGACGCCCGCCACCGGTGTTATGTGGCCCGCGCGTCTGATTAGTATGCCGATGATCGGATATGCCGCCAGACCAGTGATATGCGCGCAAAATGCGCTGATGAACACTTTCCGCGGTCCGAAATAGCGAATGATGCGCCCCCCAGCAAACGTTTGGAGAACCGCGCTTATAATGCCGATAACTGCCATCATTCTTCCGATGTCGTACGGGCTGTAAGAGAGTGTTAGAATCGGAGACATTGCCAACAGGCACAGAGAGGATCACCTTAATCCAAAACCGCCGTGTTCGATTGGGGTGGCGTAGACCTGTACCGTGATCAGACTAATGCACGCGCCACTTCGGTTGGACGAACCAATGGTAGAAGGGCCTCATACGCCATATCACAAAACTGCAGCATCCCGTGATTCGACAAGGCCACCAGAACTGGTCCGGTCAGCAGCTCACGAACAGTGAGAAACCTCTCGTTTTCCGAATCGTCTGAAGCCGGCAGCAGTGGGTCCGTCTCTCGCGGGGCTTCGGCGCAACGTTTCTTTTTGTTCTTCACAAGAGACGGCAAAGTCTGTTTAAGACGGTGAGCACTGAAATCCAAACACAAGCGCACAACTCACCTCGCGAAGACCGATGAAGCCGACAATGAAAGAGAATAGCGCGATGGCAGAGGCCGCGGCGCAGGGCAAGAAATATGGATTGTTCCTCAGAAACTCGATCTTGCCCATAGTGTTGGGCCATTTTGTTGCGGGGTGCTCCAGTACGCCACCGATGAACGGCCTGTTCTTGAAGCTTAGACGGGAGTCCAAAAGACAAAGCAAAGACTCACGCAGAAGTTACGCCAGCGCTCCACATGAGAGGAATCATGGAGTACATATCGGCGGCGTTTGTGGGGTCCGAAATCTGGGGTAACGGTGAGTGCTGCGTAGAGAATCATGGGACAGTGCAATCTTGCCTCGTTCATGACAGTTTTGGAGACTCCGATGTTCCCGTTGAAGATCCCCTGTGCGCAACGGAAGAAGAATAGGACCCAGAAGGATTTTGTTAGGCCGCATCCGAGCGTCGCCAAAGCCAATCCCAGAGGGGCGAGGAGAAGCACAGGCCGTCGTCCATACGCATCTGCAAGTCGGCCAAAGTGGAAGGCAGTGAGGCCCTCCCCGAGGAAGAACACTGATTCCTGAAATATAATGAGTCAATGGCCCTCAACGAAGAGAGCCCGAGAGACCAGCTCACCAGTAGTCCAGCGTAATATCCTGTGCGGTTGTCGTCCCCTCGCGTGATCCCGGTGTCGCGCACCAACGAGACGACGAAGGGGTAGATAACGAGAGCTGCAGGAAGCTCAGGTCAAATCCCCGCGGAGAAACCATTCAGTCGCACCGGTGATGGGCTCTGCGAACTGGATAGAAACGAGAATGAAGAGCTGTAGTTTTGGAATGGGTGTGCGCGCTGTCTTCGCCATGGGCAAGGAACTGGTACTGCTGCAGGGTGAAATCGTCATGATGGCTTTGTATGAGACACTTGTGAAGCGAACAGCCTTTGTAAACCGGGCTCGGGGACAGCATGGATGACAGCAGCAGGACCGAAACTCGCGTGCCGGAGATACCTGTTTCGCCACAGCCAGTGCTTATCTGCTTCCGTAAACGATGCTTTCGGAGTTCGGAGCTCCAACCTGCCAGCCACTGGAGCATGGAGCCCCCAATCATGAGTTTGGCACGGATCCCACTTTCTGGCTAGCATTCTTGGAACCTGCAAAAGAGGATCGCATTGCTCGGAGCCCCGGATCAATCCGTCGCTCCATTCAACTCAATGTGCAGATCTCTCAGGCCCAGCCACTGTCTTACAATCAGGAACCTGCGCAGGGCCAAACATGGAGATGGAAATGACTGTCACTTGCGATAACAAATTTTGAGTTGCTCGGCGCCGCACTGATCTGAAGAGAACCCCGTTAATTGGACATGTCAGACTAGTATCACGGTATTTCATGAAAACCGGGGTGATTTCTGGTGGTGGCCATCTGGAAATGCGATGAGTAACGTGTGAGGACTCGGTGCTGTCACGTCTGCATACTTGAACGGACATGATGCATGCAAGATGCTTAAACGTCATCGACAGCTACTAGGATGATCTATTTTGGCCCGTACCAGCTACCGTCGATGATCGGGGCTTATCTAGCCAACGCCTGGAGCTACTGCCGTGTGAGCGCAATCATGTATGCATCCAGGTTCTCCCACGCGTAACCCAGCTTGACTTCTTGCGCGGTTTCCGCCGCCCCTAGCGTCGAGTCCGGATACAATCCCGAGGCCAGATGCCCATCGACCCGAAGAGGATCCACTATCGTTCCCGAAAGAGCCTGCTCCCATTCCCAGTCCCACAGCCGCTGCTGTGTCACTGGGGATATCGGCGGTTCCCATATCATCTGCGCCTCAGTCGGGCTGGAAGCACGCGACAAGTCCGCGGTAGATTGAATTTGGCGTTTCGGGAGAGTCGCGCTATCGACCATGGTCCGAGAACCCCCGATCAGCTCAAAGTCAGTGTCGTCCGCGAGATCATTCAGGTCGACGTCAGCCAGAACAGGCACCGGGATATCATTAGCGGCGGCAAATGCAACCGCTGCTTTATTTCGGAGACGATGAAGGACGGTCTATCGTCAATTAGACGGTGCCCAGATGCGGACGAAGAAAAAGAACGTACTAAAGCTCCAGTAACTACGACACAGTGCTTTGAGGCCCGTTCTATCAACTCGACGGTGGTCAGGAGATCTGCGAGTGCTACGGGAGCCAACAGGTGCTTCGGACACTTGGCAGCGACGGAAGCGAGGATAAACTAGGCCGGAAAAACGGAAGCGAACAATCAGGAGCCCAGCGAAAGCGAAGTGGCTAGGAACTCACAGCCGAGTTTGTCACTGATAATGTCAGCGTCAATAGGATGTTGGTTGAGCAGACCCAGCTTACCGGCTTTCCAGAAGGGCCACCACCGGTGGATGTATTCTGGATATGCCTCCAAGAACCGCATATCCGCCTTAATCATCGAATTTGCGCCACGATAGGCTGCTAAAAAGGACGCTGCATACGGAGAATCGAGGGGATTAGTAGGGTTGTGCTTGATTGCCTTGACGAATGACGACCGATGTATGTAAATGATTACTGCTCGTTTGTCAGCTTTGTTTCCGGAAGAATGAATCCAATCTGACAGTTATGGGACAATCGAGGGATCATATGCGCCCGAATGTACCCGAGGTAGGAGGCCGAACCGCCGCTCATCTCGTAGTGGGGAAAGGGCGCCTTCTCGATAAAATGCCTTAGTCGTTTGTCAAGTTCGAGAATCTCATCGTAGCTGGGCGCGACTGTCCGAGTGAAAGCAAGCGCCAAGGGCGCTGTGACCTGGAGTGGGCAGCCATCAACCAAAGAAAAAAAGGACGGTCTCACGCTGTTGAATACACACCTCTTTCGTGAATAACCACCGCGTACGCATGACTGCATTGAGAATTCAGGGTCGATTTTGGCAAATGAAATGTTAAACTGACATCCAGGTATCGGCATCCCATCCGCGTCCATGGACTGGTCGGTGTCCGCCGGAAACTCACACGTGATGTCCGAGGGTATGATTGTTAATGGACGTGCGAAAGACAGACCCTGAGAGAGATTGTATCACACGACGTCTGTGGGTCACACGAAATCCGCGCACACAGTACGATTCGAGCGAGTGAACCTCCCAGAATAGAGCCTGTCCAGTTGCCAGTCAGATGATGGCCGCGGGAGAAGCGAAGTCTCCCACTCGTCTTCTCTCTGCGGTCTTGTCTTCAAATGCAGCGTGTGATTTCTCTCGATCTAGGGTGGATATCGGCCATGGCGGAACCAGGAGATTGGAGGAAGACATACGAAGACCCAGCTGAATTAAACATAGTAGGCAACCTCAACTTTTCGATAATTATATCCACTCACCGCCTGAGCTAAACATGCGGCCATAGATACGGCTGTGACAGACGCATCTAAACTATACCTGGGGCTTCCCGTCCCGTAATACAAGCCAACCATGAGCAATGCTTGAATGGTATACAACTCTCTCGACACAGAAACATCGAGGAGTGTCATTGCTGCCCGGCCAAGATCGAAATACGCGTCCGCCTGAACGCTATACGCTGGCAGCGCCAAATCTGCTAGTGTGGCAGAGGCAAACGCAAGGAAAACTATGGCCAAAGCGTGTGGGGAGAGCTCGTGGAAATTCGTGTCTGGTGAGTAGACCATAGTCACCAGCTCTCGCAATTCGTCAGGCATTATCGGCTGGCCATACCACGACGCGGCCGCGCAGTAGATGTCGAAGAGTGCCCACGCACGAGGTTCATCGGGCAGTTGCGCAAGTAGGATCCCCTTCGAAGCCGTTTTGTTCCAGGTTGGAACCGGCAGATTTGTGAGGGGAAATGCATTCAGAACCTCTGCAAACGAGTAGGTGTACTCGCCGCGGTCACCACCAGCAGTTCCCTGAGCCTGTCGAACACAATCAGATGCTGGATTAGAGTAATGATCGGAAAGATTCCACCGACCGAAAGCAGAGCCTCGAAGCAGATCAGATCAGAGTCAACAATCCTTAAAATGTCTATACTACTCACTGCGGTGCCTGCTGTGGGTCCAAAGTACCGATGTGTTCCCGCATCGCTTAATGCCATGGCACCAAAACTGTCAGCCAGCTCCGCTGTATCGCTTTTCGGCGGTGATATTGACTTGGCGTCTGCTTGCTGGTCGAGCGACACATCTTTCCGCAGCAAAGGGTTCAGCGCGGAACCTACACTGTCGGTCGTGTCTCTATAATCCTTGATACACGCCGCGATAGCTTCTTCGAGTTCCCGTATTCGCTCTCGCATGGCATCGAGGTGGAAATTAAGATCGGACGAGGCAGAGTGGATGATTCTGTGCCTGAAGTTGAAATTCAAGATATCATAACGCGTGAGAACAAACGCACCGTCTCCCGCGTCCTATTGGGCCAGAGTCCCCTGGATCACCTGAGCACCTGATACGTTTGCTACAGAAGAAAAAGCATACCAGTAGGACATATACTTGCTCGTCCTCTGCGCACTGCTCGAATTAGCTGCGGTCTTCACCATAAGATCATAACGCCCACCGCAAGAGCTGCAAGGGAACTTTTTGTCGCATTTCAACTTTCGCCTGTCCTGCCCGTCAAGTCTCCATTTGAATCACCTGGCTTCTGCAATAGCATTACCTCTGACACTCGGCGCAAGCCACCTACGCGTCGAAACCATCAACCACCAGCGCCAAAGCGTTCAAGAAGAGCGGCATACTATTCCTCGCACCCGCCTCATATCCATGGTCTCCTGGTCGGAGAAGACCTGGGTGCCATGCGTCGCATTCTTTCGCATGTGAGAAGGGGAGAGAGAAGAAGGAGAATGCAGTGCCGCTGGCAGCTGCGCGGTTGTTGGGCGCCAGTGTTGCGCGCTGATCGAATTCCCGCACGGCTTGGCGACGCGTGGATCACTAAGGAGGCTGTGTCGCGGCGATCAAGTGCGGCTCGCGTGGGGGTATCTGATAGACTAGAGCGAAAGGGAACAACTTGGTATGAATGGATTTACTTTGAAAAGGCAGATGAAAAGTAAATACTAGCATTGGGAGATCGTGAAGGGATATGGGCAGGTTGGGCGGCAATCAGATCCGAATGTGTGGAGTAGTAGACAATACAACATCAGTATATTTACATTGTAGCGGCTTCATAAATGCGATTTAAAATGTGGAGGTCCATGATTTCATATTTACACCATTATCCCTAGACTCAATAATCCAAGCAAATTCCTAATCAAAATCTCAGCACAAATACGCATGCCAGAAAAAAAATCTTACAAAGAGTTGAGCGGGTGTTTTGCGACTTTCGATGTCTTTTTCTAGGCATGCATCGATGAAGTCCTCCGCTGCGGAGCCATACTTCCCACGTGGCAATGTTGGCGAGGGCTCGTTGACAATCTGGTGCATGAGTTCGATGATGCTCAACATCATGCCCCCTCCATGCAAGGATACACCTTTGCTCCTCCTCCTTCTCCGACTTGCGCTCATGGGAATTTGGAGTGAGTCGCGGTGATTTGATTCGGGCGGAGGAGGAGGTTCAGGCCGATCGATGTCCATGTCGTCATCCTCCGTGTCCGAAAACGAACCCGAGAAAGGGAATTGTCCCACAATGAGCTCGAGCAGGGTGATACCGAGAGACCAGATATCTGACTTCACAGAATATACCGCGCCTTGGATGCGTTCCGGCTGTACTGAGGTAAGCCCAAGTAGTACCCGAAAGATTGGCGTACGTACGCTCATGTAAATCGACGTGCCAACAAAGGTGTTCGCAATCGAATTGATCAGTTCCCCGGAAACACCAAAGTCACAGAGCTTGATGTCTCCTTGCGAGTTGCACAAAATGTTCGAGGGTTTGATATCTGGGTAAACATCAATTACGGACTCCGACAGGACGGATGTGCACGGACCGCGGTGAATAATCCGGTGTACATCGTACAGGTACCTCAGCCCCTCCAATACGGACACAGCAACCTTCCCCACGACGTTCACGTCAATCGCCCCAATCGACTTGTATATTCCGTCGAAAGAGCCCTTGTCCATGAATTCCATACAGATGCAGATATTGGGCTCTGCAAGATAGGCGCCGTACGAAGACACAATGTAGGGCGAGTCGCAGTCGTGCATGATTTGCAGCTCGAGCAGGATCTTCTTCCTCTCTGCCGGCTTCGCGTCAATCAAAACGACCTGGTCAGAGCCAGATGGATGAGATCCATCTTGCGAGGCGGCTCGATGTCGAGTATGCGCACCTTCTTAGCCATGACCGTCCCCGTTTTGACATGCTGCACTTTCAGCACGCTGCCGCCATTCCCTGATCCCAGTTCTTGCAGGGTCGTGAACTCGTCGTTCTTGACATCGAACCCGGGATTGGAATCCTTCGCCAGCGTTTCCAGACGGCTTGTGAGGGTCGCCTTCGCGTCCTGCGTCGACGCGCCCCCGTGTGGATCCTGGCCTTGCAGAGGTCCCTGGCCAAAAGGAAGTTGCGATCCCCTGCGGGGTCCGGCGGGAGCAGCGCGCGCGGGGACTGGCTCATCGTGCGCGTGACAGTCGAGAGTAGCCGTTGGGAGCTGCAGGCCCCTGAAGTTCCGCTTTTTCCGAATCGACGACATGAGAGTGAAGAGGATGAGAGTACGGCGACGAAGGCCCAGACATGGATGCGTTCTGCCCGATCATTGACACCAATCAGTGTCTGTTGGCAGGGAGATCGAGCTTATGTCATCTCGCTGGCAAAGGTTGAAACTTGTAATTCACGTGAATGAGCGAATGAGCGACTTCCACAAAATTTCCCGGTAACGACGATGGCGTTAGCAAGGCAAAATTGTTGCCGCTGCAGCTCAAGAAAGTGTGCCCGCTCTGTCGACTCCGTTATGAAATTTGGGTGCTAAAGACCCCGAGGTGCGTTGCATCGTAGGAGCTCGGTGATTCAGTGGAATTGAGCAGTGCCTAGTGTACGTGGCAGAACTGTTTTGGGGTTCAAATGCCATACTGCCAGGAATAATGGCATTCCCAGCCGTCGGCAGAACTGGCAGAACTCGGCAGAATCCAAAATGAGCCATTTTCAAACGGGCCGCTTACAGAGTTCTATGCAGGCTACATAACACTAGGTAGAGCAGGCTCCTTCCCACCTGTTTGCGAGAGGTTCAATCCTACAACGGGGATTCAAAGCAGATTCAGAGATTGGGAGCATCGGACGTCTCATATTTATTCGGAGAGTGACTGTGGTGTGAGGAGGTAGGGCTGACACACAGACCTTCCTATTTTGGAAGCCTCGGCATCCTGGCTAGGATGATTAATCAATGATGTCCGTTGGCTCCGAGATGCAGCCGCAGCTCACGCACTGATCTTGTCCTTCAATTGCTTGACATTGCAGTAATCACGTGTGAAATAGTGACGTCCGGATTTCTGTTTCTCAGCGGGGCTTCCACCATTGCCCATTTTGCCGCCGGAAGATAAGTGGAAGAAGGAAGATGGCTTAAAATCTGCTCAAATCGATAACATTGATCTGTCTGATCCTGCCCAATTGAAATTCGGCTGAACAAGTTCTGCCGACTTCTGCCACCCCCTGCCGGGCCTTCACTGCCAATTCCAGGCATTGCCGGGCTGGCAGAACTGATCGGCAAATCAATTATGATCTGCCAACAACACTAGCAGTGCCGCAGCAAATCCCATGAGCTGTTGGTTGAATATGATACCCCCGTCGGGATTTCCTCTCGAATGAACTACTGCAGGGATTATGCTCACTTTGTGAGACTCAAATTTAACTTCGAGATCGGCAACAAGTTGTTTGAGTCACTTAATGACTATGCCTGTACCAGAGTAGTGGAGATTGAGTGGCTTTGGATAGCACTCCGCAGACCGCACACATAAGAAATAGGAGCGAGGAGATGAGTTGTGAATGTGACTACCCGGGCCGCCGACGTGACTGATGGCGTCTTGACGCACGTGATCGCTTATGCAAGCATAGTGTCAGCTCATAAGTATAGGCTAGAGCACAGGCAGAGTCAAGAGAGTTAAGAAAGTTATCTCAGAACAAAACATCGAAGCGAGTCTGTATGTCTATACGCTCCTGTGAGAAGTCCCGTCTCACTTTCGAGGAATCCGATATCATCGAAAGCGCCCCCGACGATGCCAGGCCCTTGCCGGCTGTAAATTGGATCCATGCGACGGCGCACTTGACGGACCTGAGCATCGGCAGGAAAGTCGCAGGGAGCGTGACCACACATCCCGCCATGTCAGAAGACCACAACTCCTCGATCTCGCTCTGCTGTCCGAGGAACGTGATGAAATCGGGATTGGTCATGCGGAACGCGCTGCGGAAGACCTTGAGCCGGAACGGGCAGTCGTGCAGCATTCGGGCAGCTCCGCGATGCGCCCATGGGACCATGCGTGACGATCGGTCATAAACGGGGATGTGGGCCCAATGCTTCGCTTGCGGAGGGGTGATTTCGAGGGCATATAGCTGGGGCAAAGAGTGCAGGATTGAGCGCAGCAGATGCACTTCAGTGAAGGAGTTGGACAGCTGGACCGACAGTGTCCGGACACAGGGCTGTACTTTGGGTGCTAGATGGATGATAGTGCGATGGAACATCCGAATGCTTTTCGAGCTGAGGTGCACTTCGCGGTATAGAGCCTTCTGCACTTCTGCATGGAATGCTTTACAGACGAGGCACAACTGCAACAAGGTCCTCGAGTCCCATATTTGCTCGACAATTGGGTGTAGGAGGTCGTATGGGAGAGGGGGGAAGCAAAGAGACATTGGAGATAGGGGAGAGCATGTTTTTTCAGGAGACTTTGATCGGGGCCACGGTTATTCCACGGAGCGAACTGACTGGCGACAGATAAGCACGCATAGGGAAGGAGGACTTGACGTTTCATACAGACATATGGATTACCATAAGGTTCGGCGATGATCCGTATCCCGTCTTCTGTGAGCTTCGTCCACTTCTCGCCGATTGAAAACGTCGCTATATCCTCCATCATAGCCGCCATGTACAGTGCTCGGGGTCTGGCTTCCACGCATCTCTTGCTGCTTTCGGCGGATAAGGGCCTGTGCACGCTCTCGCTCTGAGGATTCTCGAGACAAACGCGCTTGCACTTCAGGCGGAGTCGACGATGACGAAGCACGAGCCACAGGACGTGTCCGGTAGGAGCTTGAGACAGAAGCGGTGTTGCTGCCATGCCGCGATGCAAGCTGATGTGTGATAGATGTGAGCGGGTCGTGTATCGACTTCCTTGCCGTGTCGCGCTTGCTGGGACACATGAGCATCCAGACGGGCCGACCTATCGGTAAGATGGCTGACCGTTTTTCATCAACAACTTCCTCCTGGTCATTACTCTCCACGACTTTCGTCGTATACCAGGGCTTCAGATCTTTCGCAGACGGGGCAAGCGGGAAACCACGTTCGGTTTCAACTGGATCTGTCTTCTTCGTCGCAGTTCGTACAGAGGCAGCGATCGCATTCTGGATTAATATTAAGAAGAGACTGGGAAAGAACAGGAGCTGGACGTGCATGCTCGAGGTCTTCAAAAAAGTTGATGTGCCCACCACTCGTCGGTAACACAGCAGGCTTCAATGACCCGTGTGAGGTCGCCTGCTCGAGTATCTTCTCTTCCTCCCTTCTCTTAGACATCTTCTTACCACCCGAGCGCTCCCTAAGTAGCTCTATCCGAGCTTCCGAGTCCTGGGATGCATTTAGTATCGGATTCAGTCAGGAAGACCGACATACTCACGGCCAACAGCATTCGACCCTCCTCCTTGGCTTCTTGTTGCCGAGCCTCTTCTTCATCTCTGCGCACTTTCTCAATGTTGTCTCGTCGGTAGGGATGGTACGATTTGTGGTGGGCGATATTCAGCTTTCCCATTGTAGTGATAGTGCTAAGGAAGAGTATGTGGCAGTGCTGACTCGTGTACGCGACTAGCACGGGTGTCTACGCTCATTCCGAGCCATCATGTTGCTTCGCAAATCGGCGATGGAGGATCCTGGAGCTAGCATGGTGGGGATCTCGAACACATGTCTTCAATCCCTCGAAAATCTCCATGTCGCATTCAGCTTTGTAGCACCTGGCTTGGCTTTCATTGGCTTCTTTGAGGTGCTCTTTGCATTGGTCGTTGTTTCAGACTTCGACATGGATGTCACACATCACCAGGTTTTGGATTTTATTGACCTAGCGATTGCCAGTGTGCATTTGTGGACTCACTCGAGCGGCCAAATCTGAAGTATGGGCAATGGAAGTGTGATAGATTTTTGCCACGGCCCATCAGTTGCTTGAGCCTTTGTCACTGGGCTGTCTCCATAAGAGGCTCACCATCCCCTTCCACCACACCCGTCCGCCTATCGTGTAGAAACCATTCAGCTCTCGGTCGCTTCCCATATCATCCTCGTTGTGGAATACTCTGGGCGATCGCCTGTCCATCACATGAATTGAAGCTCAAACGAAACAAAAGCCACCGGTCTGACTCAGGGCATGCGCTGGCGGCACAAATCAAATCTCCCCACTGATGACACGGGAATCTCGAGGTCCGGAGCGGAGTGTCTCCTGGTGGAGCGCTAATTCTCGGTTTCCAGTTTGGTGGGCAACAGAGTGGATCCTTTCGAGGGTCTTTTCGGTGAGTATTTCATCTGCGCACCAGATAACTCTCTGTGACTCTCCACATCGCTCAGAGTCGTCACTATTTCACAAGCTTACTCGCGCGTGCCCTAGGACATGCTCACCTCGTGGTGTTACTGCGACCGGATGACCATTTGTGGGACGGGCATTAACAGCGTGAATGCAGCTTAGGCTCACGAACGTGATACGCGCCTCATTCAGTTGTTGGGCTGAGGAAGACAATGGCGCGATGAGTCCTCAAGCTTCAAGGCTCCGACCTGGGGCACTCATGAATTGGCGTTGTAATATTGAGGATTCAGCGACATCCAACGAGTCGCGCCGTATCAGCGCAGGACGACGAATCGCCTCGTGCGCTGCGGTATGTGTGTGAAGAGTCTTGCAGCCACGCTGCATGCGCATTGAAATTTAATCCCCCGCGGGAGCCAGCACACCGGCTGACTGCAAGACTCTCGAAACCCATCCCATATAAAAACAGCGCACAAAGCTCGTCTTCAGCTCACTGTTCTTCGCCTCTTGCCATTCTTCCCACCCTTCCAAAGCTTCCTTCTACTCCTAGCAATGTCTGAAGTTCTCGGTGTTATTGTCATTGCACGAAACGGCGATCGCGAGGAGTACTATCAAGACCCGAAGACGTACGCCCCGGCGTTGACCGATTCGACAGCTCTTGGTGTTGTGCGTAGTCTGCAGCGACTTCGATTCCCGTTCTTTCTAAAGACTGCTGCAGAGCCAGCTTCATCTTCTTGGCGAGCAACTCCGTGAGACGTATCTCACCCCCGGGTCTTCTTCCTTCATTTCGGAGATCTCTCCCGATCTCGTCGACACCGAGCAGGTGAAAGTCCGTGCGAAGGCAGGAGGCGAAGGTGCAGTTGTCTTCGACAGTGCCATCGCGCTCCTTCAGGGACTGTTCCCGCCCAACCCCAAGAACAAGATCACGCTCGCGAGTGGGACGACAGTCAGTGCTCCCCTAGGAGGATACCAATATGTTCCCAGTGAGTTTCCGTATCCATGTCTTCCAGTAGAGGATATAATATCTGGACTCCAGTGGAAACTGTGGAGCCTGGCAACGACCGCTCCATGGAAAGCTGGACAGATTGCCCTGTCAGTACCAACCTGCGCTGGTCTTTTCTTTAGAAACTTATCTACTGTGCAGAATTTCCAAAAGCACATTGCTGCTTTCCACTCTTCGGACGAGTTCAAGGCCAAGGCGAAGGAAGCTGCACCGTTCCTCGGCGATCTCCACGACTTTGTTTTCGGACGGACTACCACTCTGGAGAACATCGTGCGTGCCTAGGCCATCTTTCCTTGAATGTTCTGATGCCGTTTTTAGTGGAATGTACGAGCGACCTCCCAAAATCGTCAATCGAACTGACTTGCCGTGCTAGATTCACGATTTCCTGAGCACGCAGCTTATGTACAACCAGACGTTTGCTTACCGGCTCCCTCCCACGTATATTGAACAGGCTCGTGCGCTGGCCGACTGGCATCAAGACGGTGTTTTTTCAGATGAGCAGGCAGACGGCGTCGGAAACGGTGCGTCATTTACGAATGAATGAGTGAGCTTTGTGCTCACAACCCTCTTAGTCGCCGGCCGTACCATGATGCATACCATTATCAATTCGTTGGAGCGGATCGCATTCAACGGAGACCCGCTCCAATTCATGGTGGTACAGACTACGTACCAGCCCTTCATCTCTCTGTTCCACGGAACAGAAATGATCAAGGAAAACCCCGAACTCAAGGGAATTCGTGAGCCGGATCCAATGTGCAACTTCTGATCATAGCCTAATCTAGTCTTGTAGCCAACTTTGGCTCAGCGTTGGCGATCGAGCTGCGTCGGGGTGCTCCGCCTGACTCGCGCGACTTCCTCCGTTTCAAATTCAAGAACGGAACCAACGCTGCCGACGACTGGAAGCTCGTATTCCCATTCGGACATCGATCGGATGTCCCGCTAACCGAGTTCATCTACCGTGCCGAAGGCGCGGCGATCTCCAGCAACAAGCAATGGGCCCAAGTCTGCGGTGTCAGCAGCGCTGAGACCCAGCCCGCCCTCGCCGCTGCCATCCAGACTGCGGCCGGCAAGACCAGTATCCAGTTGGCCTTTGGCATTATGTCATTCTTTGTCCTGTGCTTCGTTGCTGTCATGGGCCTTCGCGCAAAGCTGGCCCGAAACCGGGCTCGCTACGTGAGACTTGCGGAGGAAAATGAGGTATAGCCTTTCTTTCTCTCGGCTCTCCTCCGTCTCTGAGGAATTCCAGACCCTTCAAACCTATCGCTACGCTGACCAGAAGCCCATGGAGAAGACGCGGCTGGTGTGAGTCAGCTTCCAGTCTCCATCGAACGTTGAACGTTTCTGCACTGTCCCATTACTGATGGACATTATTTATTCAATTTATGGCCCACATACATGTAACTATACATCCACGGGCATCAATGGAGATCCCTTGTTATCGTTTCCTGCAGAGAGAAAGAGAGAGAGAGAGAGCCGTCACGTGAACTGATTATCACGTGCGATGTTCAACTCGGAAGACCAGGCCCTGCCTTCGTAGTGAATGCATACCGATAACGACCAAGATGCTTGAGGCCAAAAAATTTCAAGAAATGACATAATCGTGACCTGAAGGACTATTCCAATCCTCTCAATGATTAGCATTGGCGTAAGGAGTTGAACATTGTTCCACGTGACTTTCCTCAGGTAGCCGCGAATTGCATCAGGCCAAGGCAGGCCTTTCCGCTTTGATTCCATATGTCAAGGCTCGGAGTATTGACGGCTACCAGCTCGTTATGCTTCGTCATTTTCCTGATTGACCGCTTGAGTCGGGCTTTGTGGATCTAACGCACGAGAGTGGGTATCCGACTGTAGTTATCACCACATCTATCATCGCAGACAGGGCCTCGTTTCGAGCCACGCGGACTCAAGATCAAATTCTTTCGGACTTCGGTCATGGAGCAGACCTTTTTGGCGTCCAGAGATAACCCAGGAAAGCCCCATTGCACGCATCCCCGGTCTTCTGAATCAGGACCGAGTCACCGGTACCGGATCCATGTCCTGACTGCAAGGCCTCAGCTGCTTCCCTTTCCGAAGCTTTCACTACCCAGCCGCAAGCCTGCCGTAAAGCCGGAGTACGGTGCGGAATATCGATAAGGCGCTGCCCTCGATGCGCCAACCTGCAATGTTTCGGACCATGGGCAGTTTCTGTGCTGGGAACTTGAGCCATTGGAACCCATATTGAGGATCATCGTAGTTGAACACGGACACGGAGCAGTAGAGCGAGAAGCAGGTGCTTCGGGTGCAAGCGGCGCATCATCAATGATATCAACTTCACTGCGGTTCAAAACAATCTGGACTCGCGGCGGCCGGTGTGGCGACTGGTCGCAACAAGCGATGGATCGTGTGAAGAATCCCCAGTTTCTGAAGAAGTAGGAACCTGCGGCTTCCATGGTGCTGGGGAACGCAATATATCTCTCGGCGAGAAGTGGTTAGGTAGTCTCCTTGAAGCAGACGAAACTCACAAGAACCTTCGTGCCTCAAATCCTTGATCGTACGTCTGCTTTCTGACGCGCAGGGCTTGTCAATAGGTGTATTTCAAACTCCGACCCATCGGTCACATGGTACATGCCCACTGCAACTACGAATTATTGAATAGGATGGACGCATTGGCAGCTTCTCATACATCTAAACCTCCCTGGCGTGTACTCACAACATATTCCGACCAATTTATACAAGTCGACGAGCCCTGGGCTGAAGAACTGAGGAATCTACCACTGGAAGAGCCTGTTTCCTCCAGACGACGTCTCGACAGCATACTCTCACACGTCGAGCGTGGCGGATGGACCCTCGGATCCTTCTTGGCTTACATTTTTACTTATCCGGATCGCAAAGCTGGCAGGCGCTCAGCGCGCCACGCAGAGATAGTGTGAAATTTGAGCTGTGACTGATCGCACTGTGACTTCGCCCGAATGGCAGCGAAGCTACTGAGCCCAATCCATAGACAAATGACATATCCGCATTACTTAAAAGCCATAAAATAGCGATTAGACGAGTTGGTAACGTGTTCAAATGAGTGTGTAGAGGCTTTCGACGCGTGTAAATAACGCGCTGTTTGGTGATACCGGCAGCCCACGTGATGCATACAGTGATGGCAAAAATACCCATTGACAAGCACCCCCCATCAAAAAGCAGACGCCAGATCAGCCTGTGAGGCACGAGCGTGCTGAATCGCAGCGGATGCCTTAGGGAGACTATGGTTAGGGTGAGACGCTGATGCGTCGTTTCATGCAGAGTTCGTGTCACTACAGATGTATATTGTACAGGATACGCGGTCTTCATGTGAGAAGTAGCCATGGCTCTGTAAAATATTGTGGCCAGCGAATTACTCACACACACGAGTTCGTAGTCTATAGACGAGGGTTCCTTCACTGATCGATACCGACATGAGGTCCCCAGAACAGCTTAGGCAATACAGCGTGATCCAAGGAATCGGATATCCCTCTTTCTCTCACGCAGAGTTAAAATGCCTGTTACAGGCCGGCCGAAATAAGATCAGCAGGAAGATAGTTTAAAGGAGATCCAGAAAATGACAACAACAGCCCAAAGGGTGCGACAAGCGAGTAAAACAGAGCGAGGAGGGCGGAGGGGGCGAGGGTGTGTGTAGTGTAGTGGTAGGTATGTCGCATGTAGATGGAGCAGGGGAGAGGTGAAACGGAGGTAGGAGATCTAGGACGGAGATGGACGAGCTCCAACGTTGCGTACCCAATCATCACAGGTCTGCCAACGACACAGATGAGATCATGTCCATCGGGCCCGAAAGATGACGCGATGAATGATCCTTGGGATGCTTCGCAGGCTGGCCAGCGACTGATCCGGGGGTGCCTGAGCTCGAGGAACCTTCGCCGACTGCAATCGAGGCTAAAGGCAAATGGACGAGGCCCAGATGCGGGGGGATGGCCGAGGGATGAGGTGCGACAGCGGATGCCGTGCGAGGGAACGGAAGGAGATGCCGTGGAGCAGGGGTGAGGGTTACGTGGGAAGAATGACGGATAATGAGCGAAAGTCCGGCTGTGTGTAACTAGCGGTCATAGATACGTGAGGTACAATAGAAAGTAGAAGGATTCCAAAGGATGATGAGGGTAAGAGGACGAAGGATGGGGGACGAATGGTGGCTGGATGTCGATCGGAATGCCCAAAAAGAAGAAACAAGAGCGAATGAACGTGTTGGTAAAGGCTTTTGAACAAGGCCGAACGGGGCCTCGCTAGAGAGGTGATACTGATACAGCTGCAGGAAAGCATCAGCCTCTTCACGGAGCAGCAAGAACGCGTGACTGACCGGCATGGAACGCTCTACGCGGTAAACCTCCGCATCATCCCAGGTCGTGCTTTCCACATGGCCTCCCACTCCATGAGCGCCCGTGCGAACCCGGGATTGGGCTTCGCACAAGCACGTCTCCGCTTGACATGTGCCAAGGCAGCATCATAGCTCATGCCGTGATTACGGATGAGGTACGCAATGATGATGGACGGCGAACGGGAGACACCCTGCGTTATCGGTCAGAACAGTTCGGTGGCATGCGCGTTGGCATCGCCCACCTGTTGGCAGTGCACGAGCACGCCCTCGCCCCTGCTCAGCGCCTTCTCAATCCAGATACACGCGGCCTCGAGGTAGGGGGCGATGTCGACGGTCTCTTTATCTCGTATATCAATCGAATAAGCGCTGAAGCCGTCCTCCGGGCGGCATGGGGGCGCCCACGAGGCCTCGATCGCCTGCACGAGATGCGTGACGCCGTGTTGGCGGAGCAGCGCGTGGTCGTTGACGGCGGAGAGCGAGCCAAGATAGAGCGCGCCTGAAGCCCGTGGAGGGTGAGGCGGGGGCGAGGGCATCGCCGCGCGCGGGAGGATCTCGTGCATGGGGGTGCACATCGCCTGCATGACTTCCGGTGACAAAGAGTCGAAGCGAATCATAGTCGGTCGTGTAATTGGGTGAGTGCAAGAGTGGTTACAAGGTCCGGGAGGGTGGATCGTGATCAGGCGGGGGAGGCCTAGTGGTGATCACTGCGATGTGCGAAACTTTGAAAGAGTTTACACGGAATCAGGGCGTGCGGGGTGAGAAGAGGGGAAGAGTGCGGGGTGGGAGGTGGAAAGAGGGGCCGTGATATACACGACAGGGAAGCAGCGTCGTGCGCAGGTACAAGTAAGTACAAGTACAAGCACTCTTGCGACTGTTAGCGGATTGTGATCGGCTGACCAAATAACCTGATCCATCAAACGTGACCGTCTCCCATCCATCCCGCCGCTTCGAAATCGCTTGAAGCTCGTCATACGAGGCTACTTGACGGGGTTGATCCTGCATCTCGCCCTTCATTTCCTCCCACGTAATTAAAGGCAAGGCGATGGCGAGGCACCGTGTTTTAGCTTCCCGGCATCTCGCACGTTTCAATGAACCCATGAAGAGTGCTCACTGGCAGTACATACATCATGTGTACGCTCTTGCCACTCACATCCTCTTCGAGCGAGCGCCACCTCGGAGCCTGGGCCAGCCTGGACCCAGAACATCCGTTTTACCACCGTCCGCCTGATCTATCAGTTATGCGCGCCGTTTTCCGATTCGGATAGATGCCAGTGCGAGTGGCTCACTACAGTCTGTCGCTGTCCCAGCTGCTTGTCAACGCCGGTTAACGCTGTGCTCCGAGATGACACGTCAGGGGGTGTCGTAACTGTTTGAAGCTGAAGCCTCGAGGCCCCGAATCGGAATCTTATCCGTACAAATCCCCTCGCCGGGTTCCGGAACCGCCCTCCGACCTCTTCTGGCGCGGCTTTTTTCGTATCTGTAGTTGCCGGTAAGTTCATGCTCTGAGGGAGGGCAGGGGAGGGTCCGGCAAGTCTGGCGCCTGAAATGGACGAGTTTGGACTGTGATCACACGGTAATCTTCACGAGCCAAAGCGGACCTCGACGATTCATCACGCCTCAAGGCATTTGACGGGCGATAGCTCGCTCGTCCAACCAGACTTGTTCCAGTAAGATGTTCGAAAACTACAGAGTAGGTCATGCGCAGCCCCCGAGTCCCAGATTAGAGTGTAGATGAGTGTAGCAACAGAGATAAAGAGAGTGGATGGTGGTAAAGATAGTGGATCTCTATGAGTAGTACATAGATCGGGTCAGGTCGTCAATGCCGTCTATCGTAAGAAACGGTCGAACGCGTCTAAGCGTTGGTGCCCTCGTAAACGAAGCAGTTATCGATGAAGATCCATGCAGGTGCAGATCCACCGACGAAAGCGAGCTTGTCGCTGCCAGTTCCCGTTGCAGTGGCCTCGACAAACTTCCACCCGGCGCTGTAGCCCGAGAACGTGCCGACGACCTGGCCCGTTCCAGGTGATATCGACATGCGCAGAGGCCTCCAGCGACGGAGCCGAGAAGGCTGAATTCATGAAGCACTGGATGACATAGGACACACCCGACTTGGTCGAGAGGGCCTGAGCCGGGGCGAGCGTTCCAGCCTCAGCATTATCGCCAAAAGCAGCACCGAGCAGAGCGACGGAATTGCCGGTTTGAGCGTACGCGTTGAAGTGGAATATCGTCGCGTCGTTAGAGCCGCCCGAGGCGCTAGTGCCGACCCAGTTCGAGTCGGAGAGCGTGAAGCAGAAGTCGGTGCAGCCGGTGTAGCCCTCGAAACCGCCGTCGGGGAGCAGAGACTTGCGCTTGTAGCCGCGGGAGTAGGTCACGACGAGATCGCCCTGGCCGTAGTTGACAGCTGTCGACTCATCGGCAACGATATAGTACTGCGAACGTCTGAGCGAGCGCAGCCAGCATGATCGAATGGACATACCATCGAGCAGGTGTATGTGGTCGGGACACCGCTGACGACCGCACGCCAGATGTTGAAGTAGGCGCATCCTCCGCCGACAGGGTCAGCTCCGCGGCCATTGCAGAGCTGAGCACAGGCGTTCACGTCGTATTGGTCGAGGAATGCAAAGCCCATGTACTGGGTGTGACATGTTACTTGGATCCGACGTGATTCAGAAAAAGACACTCACGCCAGGAGCGTTGTTGGCGCCGTTGGTGGGCCCAAAGACGGGGTCGTAGCCCTCGGGAGAGTCAGGCTCAATGAGGCTGTCGAGACCCCATCCGCTGCTCTGCTCGATGCGCGTCAGAGGAGTGGTCTGGCATGCAACCTGAAGGGGGTCAGTCAGTCTTGTGACGGATGTACCGCAGAAAGAAAAACACGCACAGTCGGGTAAGATGCCTGGCCGCCAAAGTTGGTCTTCTCGGTAGCGTTGTGGATGTCACCGTAGGCAGCGCACTTGAGGTTCGACTTTTCGCTGAAGACAAAGTCGAGGAGGTAGTTGTTGAATTCGTAGTAGAGGTTGACAAAGACTAGTGATTCCATCTGGTCAGCCCGGCTTCAATATCACAATCCCACTTTCAGCACTCACCAGCACCGGGTATGCCTTGTGCCCATTTCAGGCAAGCATCCACGTTGTACGTCGAGTTGGGCACAACAGTGTACGTCAGATATGCCAGCCCTTCGATCGACGCGTCCTTCTGTCCGGCGGGCAGTCCAGCGAAGATCTCTTTGAATCCATCTTCGCGGCGGTTGAACCGTCCGACGTTTCCGCGGCGGGTGTTGTAGCTGCGGCGAGTGCTGTGCGAGTCGGCGCTCAGCTTCACGGCGTCCGCGACAGTGGCATTGGTCACGGTTCCGTCGAGAGCGGTCACGGTCACGGGCGGGACATTAGCACTGGGCAGATCATGGACCGCCGGGCCGCCCTTCTGGGGCTGCACCAGAGTCGTGGTGTTGATGATCGTGCTGGATTGGGTCTGTGGCGCAGGAGGAGGGTCCGCGATGCTTTGGTTGAAGGTGCCTCGGTGGCCGGGGGGGATGATGGTGCTTGCAGTAGCAGCTATCGGTGTGTCCATCGTCAGCAAAAAAGCTCAAGCGTTCAGCAGTGGGACACATCACAGAGGAAGAGTGCCGTGAGGGCGAAGATGCGTGTAGGCGACGGCATTGAGGAAGAGAGAGACGAGGCGAGACGAGACGAAAGGAAAACGAAACTCGGAACGATGATTCATCCCGGCTCGAGGGCCCTCAATTTAAGCAACCTCTGAGCCGCGCATCAGAATGAGAGCATCATAGGACATCAGTGAGAGGGTCTGGCCCGGATAATTGCCCTGTCTCGTCTTGACTGTGCACATGCAGCAATCGTTCGGGCGGCCGTGCGTCGATGACGTTCCGTCAGCGTGGTAAGGATATCCCGACTTCTCCAGTCGTAGGTGTATTCGATGCGATCAGATTAACGACTTTATGCGTGATAGGTGTTGTGCCAGCTTGACTGTTAGAGAGCTGAAACGCTGTCCCGTGCAGACACATCGCAGAAGCCGTTGTTCTTTGGGTGAGTCCTGGCCTGGGACACTGGCAAGATCGGTCGGCACATGGATTCAAGGGGAGCTCCAGATAATTCAAGAGTTTTCTGAAGACGCGCTTGAGGCAGAACGCGAGCCTGCCCTTCGAATAATCTTCGCATTCGGTTGACATGGAGGAGGTGTGCGAAGTCAAAGCTGATCCCATCAATGATCCTATCGTAACAAGTGAGGGCTGACACCCTTTGACAGTGCCCAATTGCCTTTGCACACTCTCGTTTCACTAGCCTCCTGGACACACCCGGGCTTTCGTTGTCGCCTGGTGCTGTGTGTATGCGGGTGGCAATCTAGGGCCATCACCTTTCTTGTCTGAACAGCAGCAGATCTTCTGTAAGCTACGACAGTGACACTCATGTGGAATTCGACATTCGTAGTTGGTCCCCACTAGCAACCGTCTATCCAATGTCACGACTCCTTGAATCAAAGTTGAGATGTCGGCTGATATCGGACCACCTCTCCGAGTTAAACATACGTGATTGTTGGACACGGATAATCACATCAATGGTTTCACAATGTACACTACGATCTGTTTTCATTGAGGAGATCGGAGATGAACGGGAGGTGGATGTCTCCATCGGAATTGCCCTGCTTCACTCTCCGCGGCATGTCGGCTGTCCGAAGATGCTCCTCGGCCCGAGTCTAGAAGAGTGTCTCCCAGCGCTGAGAAGGACCCGCGGCTAACGCCGGCCATTGTAGCAGCTGAAACGGACTGGTGGACTTGCTTGATGAAGCGACGGGACCAACATGGTCAGGGCTGGAGCAGCCAAAACACGAAATCCCGATGCATGGCTTTACGGGCCGCTGTCCTGGCTTTCCGATCGGCATGGGCTGCGGGTCAGGAGCTGTATCGTCCGCCGCAACCTGACCGGGCCCATTCGGCAGAACCGACGCAAAGGGATCGCAGAGCGGCGCGTCCTTGTCTCTCCCGACAAAGGCCCCGTCGCGCCACGACTGTGCGAGCATGGCCTCCCATCGCGCTCTGCACCGCTCGCGCTTCGTCTTGATCTTGAGCCTGTGGACGCTCCGCCGATGGTCGAAGAGCAAACTCCGCGTGGAAAAGCGCTTCGGACAGTATCCGCAGGGCAGTTTCGATTTCTCCGCACTGCGTGGGGTATATTTAGGTCAGTCATGAGTTCGAGAAGGAGTGGATTCGCCGCACAGGGTGAGCGTGTCCCTCCATAGTCGTTTCTCGTCCACGTCTACGATTCTATGGTATTCATCCTGGTGCTCTGCGAGGTCGCTGGCGAGGTCGAAGGACATGGTACACCCGGGGAGTCCGCAAACATGTACTTCGGGCGGAGACGGAAGATATCTGCCGTGACTCTAGATAGTATGTGATATTGCGGTCAGCGTCGATTTGTACAAAGCTAGAGCGGGAGGCACATACACTACCCCAAGGGTTGTACACAGCGTAGAAATCCGTAGATTCGTGCGAAGTCGTTGGCTCAGCGTACATTGTCGGCCGTGGGCGGTCGAGTGCCCGTCTCTGAGCTTGCTCGCATTTATACACTTAGGCGGCACCAGACCAATTATCAAAGCGCGAGCATGGACCTTCGCGCACAGATTCTTTGATTTGGAGCTTTTTGTTGACCACAATCGGTGGTGTGCTTGGTGAGACGAGACAATCGCGGACAAATGTGAGCAATGGGCCCTCACGAGGACCATCCAGCCCTTGGCATAGCGCAGGGTCGCTTTCGGGGGCCAGCGCAAGAATGGACCAGAAGTTTGTGTGCACAAAGCTGAATGTTGTCACAAATCCGTGAGAAGAGTAATGCAATCATCAAGTGAAGAGGCACAGGGAAGATCGGCGGGGGCTCTCCGGGATCACTTGATCTGATCATTCATCATATCGACTGAACGATGAGCGTGCGATGAGCACCGATAGGAGTTGCTCTGATTGGAACTTGCGGTTCGACTCTTTAAAAATGAATCTCTGAGGAGGCACTTTTGGGCTAGAATAATCTTGTATCTCTCGCTGATCTTCTGTACCGCTCCTTCACCGTGTGAATCGACTTGAGAAAACTGGACTACGCTCCCATCTTATGAGACTTAAGTACCTTCAAGCTCACGCCTCAGCACCACAGAAGAGCAATGCATCAGAGCTTGCATGCTGTACTCAAGCAACGCCTCCGAGGCTTGGATCATGTGAAGACTTCCATAATCTCGTGGCGGGGCATTCTCGGCATGTGTCCTGCTTTTACTTGTTTACCTAATCCATATCCTGTTCAGCTTTCTGGCAGGACCGCATTGAATCAAGTCCCGCCAGGCTGAGACGCAAACAACCAGGTCCGCCATGCTAAAGCTGTGTGCAGGTCTCTCGCGCCGTCAGATTCAATACAAGACTTGGACAGATCCGCTGAAAGAATCTTGGGCTTGGCAATGACTTTGATATGCTAAATCCTTCCTCAATGGATTACACCAGACTGTGCGGAGTCGGTGAATCCTACAGCTCGTTTCTGACAATATAGAGGCTCTACGATCTTGAAATGGCGGCACTCCCAGAACAAAATTGCGCATAGGTGCACCCACACGTTTGACAGCTCGAACGCTCCGGACAATTGATCAGCGTGCTCTGTCACCGAGCGGTGCTTTGAAGTCGCAAACGCGACTACGAGCCCCAGCCTGCATGCTGTTCGATCCATATCCTCACATGGCGGCGTGCTATATAGCAGGCCGTGGATGCCCCAAACCGACATCATCTCTTCTTCCTTCGTTCTCTTCGTTCTCTTCCTCTTTTCGCTTTTCTATAACTTTGCTTTAATCTATCTGCCCGGGACGGCTCATTCATTCGTTTATTTGATTTACGCAACACACACTCTCGAAATCGACCATGCTATCTTTCGTTCTCCTTCTACCCTTCGCGTCCTTGGTGACTGCGGCCAACAACTGGGCTGTACCCTGTGTCGGCGGTACCTGCTCTTATGGTACGTTCACACACTGTGGTCTCAGACCAATGCCCTCAAATGACACCAGATCTGCCTGCAACGAACTCCTCCCAGGCGTCTGGCACTGTCACCGTCGTACGTCTGCGACTCAGCTTAGTACAGCACTGCCTTTCCTAATCAACAAATTTCAGTGGAGTTCGAACACGGATGCTATCAGTGACATCACCACTGCGGCCAACTGGGAGATCCTGGGGTGTGATCCGCATGCTACCTCACAGAACATCCGGATCGTCTGCAACACAGACGCGTCGAACGCGCACTGCGGACACCTGTTCAGCGGTGCTGGCGCAGTGAACAAGATCATCCGGCTGCCTGAAAGCGTGCGTCTGCGGAGCTCATTCGCGGACTTGGCTAAAACGATTCTTTCCAGTGTGGAGGGAATGCATTTGCACGAATCTCCAAGGTCTCTGTCGCCAAGAACCAGAACATACCCCGTCATATTGCCAGCCGCATCGTGCGACGTGGATCTACGAAACAGCAGGTTCATGCTATCTCGTTTGACACAAACTTTGCCGCGGTAGATCACAGCAAGTGAGTCGCATCGCCCGTGCTTTTCTGTTGAACGCAATTGACGTTCCTTTCAGATCTGGCAATGTGAATATCGCGATCCAAGGAGCCAACTTCCCTGGTGCCGCGTCTGCGACTCCGCTTTCGCCTCCCTCGAGACGGGACTCTCGCCTGGCACAGCGCGGCTTGTTCAGCTCTATCAAGCAATCTGTCTCCTGTGAGAAGTCCCCGATCCGGATTGAGACTATCGCACTAACCAGAGACCTTCAGCGATCCTGCACAACTCAATTTCGGCCAACAAGAACTTCAACCTGCCACCCATCAACTTCAACAAGGACGTTGTTCTCCTTGACAAATCCGTCAAATGTGGACCGGTCACCGCCTCCCTCAAGGCTGACCTGAATGCCAATGCGCATGCCACTGCTGGGGTCGTTGTTGCCGCGCACGGGACGATCCTTCCTCCCAAGGTCTGTGATTTTTTTCTCTCTCTTGGCGTATCCGCAGTCCGTTCAACCCCGCCAAGCTCACAGACTTTTCCGTCATCGCGACTCTGAACGGAAATGTCCAGGGAACGCTGGATCTTACGGCTGATGTTACAGTGAGTTCAAGCGGTGACGTTCCGCAGCACAGATTAACTTCTTTCTTTCTAGGGAACCATTGATTCCGGAAAACTCCCCTTGGTAAACATCGGGATTCCAGGTAGGCGTTCTCAGTAATTCGGCGTGAAATCCCGTGAAAATCTCATGAAAAATGCTAGGATTCGATCTTCCTGGGATCCTGACCGTTGGTCCGTCGTTCCAAGTCGACGCCGAGCTCACGGCCGCATTCGACGTCCAAACGGACCTTAATGTCGGAATCAACCTCAACGTCGTGAACGCGCAGCTCGCCTTCCCCGCTGGCTCTTCGGCTGCACCTGGCGGTAACTCGCTCTCGCTCGGCGACACGCGTAGGGGATCTACTATTCGTCAATTTCACGTGAATTGACGAGTTGCATCAGCCCTCACGTTATCTGCGAGCCCGTCGGTCAAAGCGACCGGATCCGCTACAGCGCACCTCATCCCATCGCTGAATCTCGGCGTGTCCGCTCTGAACGGCATCGCCTCGGCGGAAGTATTCCTGGCGATGGATGCCAACGCCGCGCTCAAATTGTCGCTGGAGGCGACAGCCAGCGCCAAGGCCAGCACCGCGCTGACGGCCCAGGCTACCGGCAAGAAGGCCCGTGAGCACCAGGAGTTCTCGGAAATTGACGAGCGTGCTGCGACAGCCGACTTTGGAGGCTGTTTCGAGGTTCGTCATGATAGAACCAACATCAGATTTGACCCCTCATGCTCACGGCTGTCTCTATGCAGGTCGATGCTGGGATCGATGTCAACGTTGGAGCAACAGGCAGTTTCTTTGGGTTGTTCAAGCAGAATGTCCAAAGCTCGCTCTTCCACAAGAGCTTTGTTATCTTGAAGGTAATTCCCATCACGGAGTTATCGATTTGCATCATTGACGATGATCATTGTCAGAAATGCTTTGGTTCTTCCGCAGTCCAGAGACGCTCCCTCTACGCGATCTCGCAACTGACTGCAAGCATGGCTGAGCGAGATCTCGGACTGGACCGGCGTGCGGGCTTGAGCTGTGCGTCCTCGTCGGCCAAGACTCCGGCACCGTTGTCGAGCGGTACCGTCAAGGCTGCTGCGTACGTAACTTATCTCTAACTACTTTTCTGACCTATCCGGCTGATTCTCGATCCAGCATCAAGGCTGCCTGATGAGACAAGGCCACTTATTCTGACTACATACATATATGACTCTCATCGCTGAGCTAGTGTACTTACTGAACATCGTAATTAATGGCAAACAAAACCATGCTTGCCTCTTTTGAGCAGCTTCAGACCCTACGCTACAGAGCCGTGAAACGGGAAACTCCGAGGGTGAGTCAGGCTGGTATTTCTGGGACTTCTTCGGAGCGATTCGGCGTCAGTAAATCCGACACAGACGCGCAGATCTTCTGCAGGATTGGCTGGATACCGACTGCGCAATCGCGAGACTTTAGAGCTCCTGTCAGCGAGGCACACGACCGGAAACGATATCAATAGACGAACAGAAATAGCCCACGCAGATCGCTATCCCAGGTTGCGCAGTTTCAAAAGCAGTGTCAACGTCGAAATCCTAATTTTTTCTTGGCGTTCTTTGCTTCCGCATACGAACATCCTGTGGAGCAAAACAGCTGAAAGACCGCCTATCCCGTACGTACTTTTCGAAGCAAAGATCAAAGCTCGACTGATGCGATCAGATTGGCGGTGTGCGCAGCAGGTGAGAATAGACGAGCGGCTATTTATATCCTTTGTCCATTACGTTCTGGCACGAGATGTTACACCCGGGAGATTGTCGACCTTTATACCCACAAACCCGTCTCCGGGGCGTCGGATCCCCATATCTCTCTCTCCCGCTCTGGCTTTTCCCGGATCCGATACACGGAAAATACTCTCGTCAGTTGTCGTCATCAGCTGTTCGTGCGCGGACAGCCTACAGATTCGCTAGGCCTCTAAATACTTGGTCGACCGCCGGGAAGGGTCCCCGGACCGGCCCATGACCTCTACCAGCCCCTTCATTCATCTCAAGCCCTCGTTTATTCTCTGGGAACTGCTCACTCCCCCGCGATGCAGGAACGTCTTGATTATCGTCGCTCTCTCTCTCACATACTTCTGGATCATTCTGAGCGGCCGCTTCTCCGAGTCTTGGCTGGTGTACGAGCCGCAGGGCGTGCCGGTTGTTCCACACGACGCGACTGAGCTCCAGTCCGACCAGCCTGCACCAACGCCCACCCCGGCGCTCATTCAAGACCAGTCCGATGGGTCAGCAGTCAGCAAGCCGAAGCTCAAAGTGGCGGTACCTGAGCTCCCCCCGCTCCGTCACGGGTCTGCTGTCTACCGCCCGTTCCTCGTGCCTACGCCGGCTGAGTCCTTCGCCGACCAGACCGTGCGGCGGATAAAAGCGCACGACGCGTTTTCGTACGAGTGTCTGGAGCATTGGGTCGCCACCGGGCTGTGGGGCTCGCCGTGTCGACACGACATGGTGCAGGACTCGGTGATCGACCTGGTCTACGTCTGGGTCAACGGCTCGTGCGTCGTCTCTCGGCTTGTGCCTTTCATTCGTTCCTCTAGAGTGACACACCATTTCAGCGACCCATTACATTTTGAGTCCCGAAAGTCATCTCTCAACCAACAGAAGGGTTACCGCACGTCAGAAGCCCGATTCCGAGAACACGGCGAATTGCGCTACTCGATCCGCTCGGTGCAGCAGGCGACCAGGACGTGGCCCAACCCCACAATTCATGTCGTTGCGGCGGACGTGCCTGCCCCTCATGCATCGACTCTCCGCCT